TATTCTGTAAAAAAACCCCTCTATTGAAGCTCTACAGACCGATGTCTCTTATGAGCATCGTCAACTTGCTTTTTTCGAGAATCATTACAAAGCATCTCGCTCGCAGACTTGACGACTACCAGCATCCTGCACAACCCGGTTTCTGGCACACAGTCCACCTGATGGTAAGGGGACGGCTATGGCCAAAAATGCATTTGCTTTGTATCCCTAAAGACTAAGATGGAATACCTCGTTTCCAGTAAAAATGGTCACCGGTTCTCTATACTCATCATACTAAATATAGCAGTATTAAGCTGCTATTCTGTAAGAGCGTGGTCCTTCTCCGGTTGAGCAGGCTCATTCGTGCTACAACCATAATATACTACATAGCAGGTTTTTGTTATTGTAAAAGCTCGAACTACGGTAAATCCTAAGATTTTCCAGTAAAACCTAGGATTCACCAAGTCTAAATGGTAAAAGTTTGAACTGTTCTGTGGCAATTGTTAACTTCGGACTTTTACTAACATTAACTTAGTAAATCTTAGATTTCACTATAAAGACACGTAAAATGTTGAAAAATAGTCATGTCTAGAAGAGTTATCGTGCTCGCGGACAATGTCGACTCGACGTCGCTTAGGAGTAACGGGGGGCTAGTTGTAACATTTTTTTGTTGGCTATGGAAGCTTATTTGTTGAGTATTTAGAAAATACAGCAGTACTGTTCGAAACCTGTGATGAATTCTTATAAAAATGGCTTAGAAAAAAAAAGTGACGTGCGTTACAACTTCCCCGTGATTGGGGCTAGTTGTAACAGGCTTGGGGTAAATTGTAATAGTAGCAATTGAAAACCATTTTTCTATTTTTCAAAGACTTATTTAGCATATGTAGCTTTAGAAACTTAGACACGCTATAACAGACTTAGACTTTTAAGTTTCATACTTAACCTGATAGAAATGTTGATAGAAATGTTGCGTGGCTCAGAGATGTAGCTTCAGGCGTCTTCAGAGACAGTCTTAGGTTTCTTACCATATAATTTTTGAACCAATCAGGTCCAGCTGATTCGTTTTTATGCCACGACAGAGGTACATTCGCTTCAATCATAACACCACACTGGTATGTCAACTTTCTGACTTCCAAAGCAAGCAATCCAAAGTAGATGTTGGAGCAAGTAAGCAAGTACTCAGATATTTAGGCTTCTTCTTTCTCTTTAAAAACTAATCTGGGTTTGACATAGCCGACTGATAGTGACACAAATTAAAATGTTTTGCAGCTTTTCGTACACTGCTTTTATTTTTCAAGACTTCTACAGAAGCCTATTCGTACACATCTGGGCTTTGGGAAGCACGTTCAGTTTTTCTTTTATATTGTCTCATTCTGAAATAGATAAAATCAATTAAGTTTAAGAAAAAAGTATTAAAAACATGATAAGAAGAAATTGAAGTATGCCCCACGTAATTTCACAGAAATAATATATCAATAAGGGGCAATTAGTAACTTGTTACAACTTGCCCCATGAAAATGTTACAACGTACCCCACTGCAATCTTTTTGGAAATAACTGCCATAAAAAAATATATCCCTTATTTGGTGTAAAATTACAGTTAACATAATCGAAATGAACAAATGCTATACTACTAATACTAACATACATATGTATTTGAATAAATCAACAACTGCTAAACAATTTGAAATCAAGAATAATCAATTATTTTGCGTAAACCAAAAAAAAGTCCATTAACTGGTCTTATCAGAGCGCCTTCATAACACTGTCTTCTGCGCGATCCGGCAGGATACTAATCGCACTCATATGATGAAATGGGTGTTAAATAGTAGGTTAGGTTGAAAATCAAATGAATATTCTTCTATTATCTAGGTAAAAAATGCTTGTTACTACTTGCCCCTGTTACAACTAGCACACCGCTCCCTACGTACGTTTTTGTTGTCTAGAAGTATTTATGAGACAAAATGAGTGTGGTACAAAGATTTTATGGAATACTGACGTTAAATACTCGTCATATTTTTTTTTTAATTTAGTCGGTAACATGATTCCATTTTTAAAGTATTTAACTTTCTACTTATATTATATATATTTATTTCCAACAAACATTTACATAGTCATTGGTAAAACCTAGCATGTACCAAAACCTAATAGTAAAAGCCCGAAAAATCGTTCCATTTTATACAAAACCTTACATTTACCAGCTCGTGTTGGTAAATCCTAAGATTTAAAAGATTTTTTTATAGGATACGGTGACAAACAAGCACACAGTCCACCTGATGGTAAGTGGTTGCTGTGACCCATAGACATGTACATCTATCCTCAATAAAAAATCAAAATGCAGATGCGTTGTCACCCGTGAGGACTAAGATGGAATGCCTCTTTTCCAGTAAAAAGGGTCTCCGGTTCTCTACACTCACCATACGGAACACAGCAGTGTTAAGCTGTTATTTTACGCTGGTATTCTGTGAGAGCGTGGTCCTTCCCCGGTCGAGCTGACCCATTCATGCTACAAATATACTACTAATATAGCTGCAGCATGGCTCTACCACGTGCAAAATCCTAAGATTTACCCAAATACCGGCTTTTACAGTAGCATCTCTACGTCGTAGTACCAGTAGCTTTAGTCCCTCAGACCACATACATACGTTTCGCTAAATTGTACAGTAGACTGAAGAGTAATATAATATAAGAGTACATTCTGCCATACTAGCATATGTGGACCGCGAAAAAGCCTTTGATTCCATGGAAACTTGAGCGGTGCTACAGTCTCTACAGTGGTGTCGATTTGGTTTGGTATATTGATGTGTTAAAGTATGTTCTATGTCCCAAAATGCAAAAATGTTCTAAACTTAGTGTAATTTATTTACATAATATATACATAATTTAGATATTCTATGGTTCTAAATAATATATTCAATACAGATAACTAACAATTATTTACTATCTAGACGTTAGTGTCCCGAATAAAAAGTAACACAATTTATGCTTAATTTTACACTAGGTAAAAACGAAGGAAATTAGCAAGTAATAGTTTTAATGATATATAAAGAGAAAGTAGATATTAGCAGACTGAACGAGACTACGAAAGCTTCATACAAGCTGAGATTATAGAGAATATATAATCAGATATATATGTAATCGGATCATATAAAAACGAATCGCAAATCGCGCACAAAAGCGCGGAGTTAACAGTGACACACATATAAAATAACGCAATAAACAGTTTTTTCCTTACCTAATTAAAACAAAAGCAGCATACGTTTGACAATAAACATATCTACATTAAATAACAATATAAAATAGTACCTATTACCAAAATTTTACATGATGTGAGCACAGCCTGTAGTATACTTAAATACAACCTATGGGATGGGTGAATGCGATTTCGGCTTACGGGATCTGTAGCAAATAATCGGTTCACGACTCCATAATCCAACATGTAAAACATTGCTAAAGCTGCGTAGTAACGTAACTTCGTAAAGTTTGTAAAAACATACTAAAAAAGAATATGCTACTGTAACAAATACTAAAACGCTTCCTTTGCCGAAACTTTCCAGACTTTTCAAAAATTAAAAATTAATCGACTAATATTTATATATAATAATGTACTGGCGACGTATAGTCAGATAATAAAAGTTGAATATCCCATAATTCAAGTAAAAGTTGTCAAACACTTACAGAATAATTGTGTACGTGGTATCTCTGGTTTCTGTGACGTTAATGCTGTTGCCTATGCGGCTCTTACAGCTTATATAAAAAGGGAGGGGGTAGATTATTATTTTACTAAAATCGACAATCTTGGGGTGGAGTTTCTTGTGTTTAGTGATCACATCAACATAATATACTCCTAGATGCTGCCGAAAACCACAACATGACATGGGTGAATTGTCTAACCGCCGTCCGAACAAGGGTTGCGGGCCCCGGCTCTGACGGCTAACTCGGGTCGTTCGATTTGAGAACCGCTCAGGGGTTAACGTGGTAGAGACATTCTGCAGCTATATTATGGTTGTAGGACAAATAGGCTGGCTTGACCGGTAAAGAACCACACCTCTCATACAATATGAGCATGAAATAGCAACTTGATGCTGCTGTGTTTCATATGGTGAGTGTAGAGAACCGGATTACTACTCTACTCGGCTTGACTACTCATCTATATTTTAATTCTTACGACAGTATTTTGCCAGGTGTTAAGCCAATATATTAAGTTGGTTTGGCTCACTATTAGACGTACCAAACGCTCCACTTGCTTCCTTATTGTGGAAGGTAACTACTATTTCACTGTAAATGTTCTACAAGCGGTACGTACAAACTTACATTTGCTGTTGGAGCATCTACCGTAAAGTTGGCCGATATATGGGAGAAAATTTTCTCCACTGCAAAGTACGTTAAAAATAAGCCATTCAATCCGACTTATCTTTCCGTTAGAACTATGTTTAGACCCTACAATTCCCAAAATGGACGAACTATCTACATACATAATTAATTTTAATATGGAACTAAATAAGGTCGCGAGGCCTACTCGCACTTTTCCGATACAACTTATTTCATAAAAAATAATCATCAAATCGAAAAATAAAATGTAAACAATTGGCGAAGATATCGCGTAACAAATGAATAATATTACAAAAAACATACCTACAGTTGAATTTTAAGCCTCCTTCTTTTTTGAAGTCATCTATATATACGTAAATATATTTAGGTAATGCCTTAGATAGCTCAAAAACACGGCTATAGAGGATGCTGGAGGTTGTTTATCCTGCCAAGCTTCAAGAATCTTTTTAATTAGTGCAATGTCAGCGTCTACTTTTACCTTTAGAGAAACCGTGCCTAAAACAAATTTTTACGAAATAAATAATAAATAATAAATCATTATGAAATAATTTATTAACGCGAATAATAACTATAGCTAAACGCTTAATGCTCCTCCCCGCCGCTGGTCCGAGTATTTTTCATTTGGCAATTAACGGTTTATCGTTATAATAATATGTTTATTATACTTATTGTAACTAGTTGTTCTCACAGCTGTCCAACACGAACGGGGTCCACGCAAACCGAAATTACACTCAAATGGTATGAGCTCGCTGCCGCCGCCGCCACTTGGTCACGCACACAAACCGCACCCGCTGAAGCTGTCGCCGCCTTCACCCTACGCACCGCTGCCACAGCCGTTTAGCTTCCAAGTAAGTTTTAAAGTAAAGCAAAGTAAAGTTACGGCCTATAGACGTCCCACTGCTGGGCACAAGCCTCCTCTCACTTGTGAGAGGGTTTTAGAGCAAGGAAGTATCCACTGCACTGCCCCATTGCGTGTTGGCGAACTTCACATGTCTACGAAATATTTTTTTCTTATTCCTCAGACATGCAGATTTTCTCAAGATGTTTTCCTTCACCACCGAGAACGTGGTAAAACAGCACTTAAAATTGCAACTAACAATTTCATTTACATAGAAAATTACAATAATCAAGTAGTTTGGTAGATTGAGTTTATTACAATTAAGGGAATATCTGGCCTGCGTTTAGTCCATACAAACGTATTCCTCTGCTTTTTCTCTGGATTATGACATTAGACCAAATATTTTTTTACGATAACTACAACCTTTAATTACGATTGCCAGTTCTTTCCCAAAAAATAGTTATTTGAAAAACTAAGAGCTTTCTAAAATTTATAAAACTGCCTAGTTATATCCTCGTTGTGAAAACATACAGATATAAACACAATCCTTCTTATATTGTTATTAGATATTAAAAACCGTCCAGTTTTGGAGTAAGAAAAAGGGATATACGGAGTTGAAGGTTTCGTTTAATTTTCATTGATAGGTTTCTATATTCAGTCCTGAGCTCCAGTAGTCTCTCTCGGTTATCTAGTTTTATCATCGGGCACAGCGCGACAGTAATAAATCATTAATGACTTATTCTTCAAATTTCTTCCAACCCGAATAGGGGAAATGGAGCTTTGTTCGCGTAGACTTCGCTTCACCAACGTTATTAGTGTTCTCATTATTAGTGTTCTGTGCCAAAATTCGGGATCACCTCGTCTGTCAATGTGTCTGGCTGTCGGTGACAAACATGCTTCTCAATTTCTCAGAGATTCTATAGTAATATGTTCGTAATTTTCTTTACAATGTAAATATAAAATGTACTTAAAAATTATTGGCAACTAAATCAACATTTTTGTGGATATGAGTCGTTTTTGATTCATAAATGTAGAATTTGTAAATAGCTTGACCGGCGTCACCTATCGGATTCTAACATAGCTATGGAACATCGTTTCGTTACCTGAATCAGTCAAGTCGTTTAGAAGTTCTACTATCACTTATCAGTTATCACTACAACTAACACTAACAAACGCCCCAACGACTGTGTTATATACAAAGCCTAACTGATCCGGCAGAGGTTGTTCTGCCTTTTCCGATTAGTGGGGTAGGGTGAAATAAAAGAAGCAATCAATTAAATGGGTTCAGTCGCCCCGAACGCAACGCTTATAGAACCTCTTAGTTTTTTAAGCTAAGTTAAAAAAAAATCTTGTTTGGTCACACAAGACGTTCGACAAGCGAAATTTTATTTTCTTACGTCGTAGAATAGTTTGCATTTCACTTCAACATTAAATACCATTTTTTTTCTTTTTTTATATAATATAGGGTGACAAACGAGCACACAGTCCACCTGATGGTAAGTGGATGTTGTGGCCCATAGACATCTACATTTATCCTCAATTAAGAATCTAAATGCAGGTGCGTTGTCACCCGTGAGGACTAAGATGTAATGCCTCGTTCCAGTAAAAAGGGTCACCGGTTCTCTACACTCACTATATGAAACACAGTAGCATCACAGTATAATAAACATAATTTATAGACTGTGGTAGCATTAAGCTGCTATTTTACGATGGTATTCTGTGAGAGCGAGGTCTACCACGGTCGTGCCGACCCATTCGTGCTATAACTATAATATAGCTGCAGCGTGGCTCTACCACGTAAAATTCATAGTTTCAAAGAAAATCCAGACCGAATTCCGGTCTCGCCAGCTAGTCTCAATGGAGACTAATAGACATCTGCGCGGGACAGGATTATAGTGCATGAGTATATGCGCAAGCAGCATAGATGCTCCCTCTATTCCCTCACTCTTATGGTCCGAATGGTTGCAATTGGATTCCATCGGAGAGATTTTTATGAGATGAAAATATTTATAAATCTTAACTATATAAATAATTAGGCGCCAGCCCGACGGGTTTACGTGTTTTCGAGGCACGAGGGTTAAATACCGTGACTCCGAAAAGCTACTGAGAATTTTTTGACAGTAAAATCCAATGTTCCTACCTAACTGATTTTTAGCTCGACCTAGGACCTCATGACCACCAGTCGCGCTTACGGCCACTAGACGAATGAGGCATCCTCTGAAAATAGTATCTACCCATACAAGTATTATGAATTTTTTAATAAAATACTTACTACAGAATATATCAATTGCCGGAGCCCACATTACTCGAAAAAAACATAAAATAAGTAGTAGTTTTGGGATCGAGTAATGTTAAACGGGTTAAGCCCGGACTTCCTGGTCGGATTGACGTTACATTGGAGACGATAATAATAAATAAGTGTGTTTACGCTGGCACTACATCCATAATACTTAATTATGTTATCTTCGACTGAGTACAAAACTATTAAATGTTCGCCGTGATCGAAATCGGCCAGTACACCATCTATACACCAAACAAGAAAACAAAGCCAGCCACGATTCCCACAATTGTAACATGAACGCATTGCTGGTTCGGATAATATTTTTCAGTACTGAATCAGGAATCAGCAAGAAACCCAGTGGTATACTGAATGGATTGCCGTTTTGTGTGCAGTTTAGCTTAGGTAGTATGAACGAAGCGGCGCCACTCAGCGCGGCGTCATCGGCAGGCTCCAGCGGAGCGGGCGCCGGCGCTGTTAGCCCACTGCCGCTGATCACTGAACCCTTTCTCGCACCTCCGCCGCCCGCTCTTCTGCATATGCTCATGTCCTCAGATAAGTGTCAGGTAAGAATATAAAAGGCAATTAAAACTAGAATTTACTAAAGAATCATTAGAATTACAATATTGTTAAATAGTCGTATTTATACGTATGTATTAATTTTGTATTTATGTATATTTATATCCAAATACGTGTATGTATGTATGTTTATATATGTTTATTAGCATTATTATTTTATATATATATTATTATTCAGTTTTTTTTTTACATGTAATGTGTATTAATTTTAGTTTCTTTTCTTTTAATTGCTACACATTTCTACGGTGGTAGAGCCACGCAGCAGCTTTTGCTGTTGCACGTATGGGCCGGCTCGAGCCGGGTTAGTACCACCACCTCACAGAATACCGGCGTGAAGTGGAAGCTCTGCTTCCGCGTTTCGTCTGGTGAGTGCAGGTGACCGGAGGCCCAATTCCCCCCCCCCCCCATCAACATAGTAGCGGAATTACATCATAAACTACCCCAGGAGGGTACCAGTACCCCTGGAGAATCCCTCGCTGAGCATCCACGACCATGCTATTCCACTCCTGAGCGTGGGTGCTCAGGATGCCCCGCGTATTCTGGGGGGGGGGGGGGGAATTCCGCTCAACACAATAACTGCTCAGGGCAAACTGAGCAACAAGACCAAGGCGACCCCTGCCACGCTATCCGTGAATTTCTGCAACATCAGGGGACTTCACTCGAACCTAAACGCCGTCCACTACCATCTCGAGACGGCGAAGCCGGCCTTGCTCTTTCTGACCGAGACGCAGGTTTCCTCTCCGGCTGATACTTCGTATCTTTCCTACCCGGGGTACAAATTGGAGCACTCCTTTGTGCGTCGGGCTGGAGTTTGCGTGTATGTCAGAGAGGACATCTGTTCTCGACACCTCGGCAGTCTTGAAGGTTCGGACCTGTCCATCCTTTGGCTACGCGTAGACAGCGACGACCATCCGCGCGTCTATGTGTGCCTCTATAGGTCCCATAGCGGTAATGCCGAAACAGACCGACTCATCGACCACGTCCAAATGGCTACAGATTCCTTGCTACAACAGGACCCATCCGCAGAGATCGTGATCCTTGGCGATTTTAACGCCCACCACGCCGAATGTCTCGGTTCACGTTTAACCGATCATGCGGGGAGATCTGTTTATGGTTTGCTTCTCGCCGGATGATCCCAGCGCTGTTGCTGACTCTGTCACTGATGTGGTGCTACAGGGAATGGAACTATTTATTCCATCATCTGTGGTACCCATCGGAGGCAGATCTCAGCCTTGGTTTGGTCGCTTCTGTAAGACTGCTTTACGCAGTAAGCAGGAGTGTTATCAAGCCTGGGCTGCGGCTTCGGCGACTCAGGATGTAAGCACCAGCATATTTAAAAAGAAGTATAACTTCGCCTCCAGGTCCTTCAAAAGAGTTATTGCCAAGGCAAAGTCAGAGCACATAGGTAGAATTGGCGAGAAACTAGTTCGCCTTACTTCGGGAACCCGTGCATTCTGGTCTCTCGCCAAGGCTGTCCAAGGGAATTTCTGTAAGCCATCACTACCATCTCTGCACAGGGAGGCTCCCTTTTTGCGTCCAATTCGACTGTTGATGACGGGGGGAACACACCGCCGACCATCCCGCGGTGTGAGTGCTCCATGCCGGATGTGCGGTTCTCACAGCGCTCGGTTCGCAGAGCACTCCTCTCCCTTGACATCCACAAGTCGAGTGGGCCTGACGGAATCCCCCCAATTGTGCTAAGGACGTGTGCTCCGGAGTTGGCACCGGTTCTAACGCGTCTTTTCCGGTACTCCTACTCCCTAGGCGTAGTCCCGAAATCATGGAAGACAGCTTTTGCCACCCGATCCCTAAAAAAGGCGACCGCTCAGACCCGTCCAACTACAGGCCTATCGCCATCACCCCCTTGTTCTCCAAACTAATGGAATCCGTTATAAACTGCCACCTCATGCGGTACCTTGAGGATCACCAGCTTTCGAAGCTCCCTTCCTATGGGCTTCCCGAGAAATTATACAATTGGATCACCAGTTTTCTTGCAGATCGGAGCATCAAGGTCGTTGTAGACGGTGCATGCTCCGACTACAAGCCTATTAACGCTGGTGTTCCACAAGGCTGCGTGCTATCACCAACGCTGTTTCTTTTGCATATCAATGATATGTTGCAAGCCGGTAGCATTCATTGACAGCACTGGTGATGCTCTATACACCGGCCGTGCCAATATTTCTCGGGAAAACGTCACCGAGTACCGGAACAAACTTGTGTCTGAAGTCAAGTCTTTGCTGGACAAAGTCTCGGATTGGGGGCGACTAAATCTAGTCCAGTTTAATCCTCAGAAGACACAAGTATGCGCGTTTACCGCTAAAAAGAACCCCTTTGTCGTATCTCCTCAGTTTCAAGGTAGTCCCCTTGTTGCCTCTGCCAGTATCGGAATCCTCGGCGTCGACATATCGAGTGACGTGCAGTTTCGTGGTCACTTATAATAGAAGGCCAAATTGGCCTCTAAAAAGCTTGGCGTACTCAGCAGAGCGGGACAGTATTTCATGCCAGCTCAACGCCTGCAACTTTACAAGGCGCAGGTTCGGCCTCACATGGAATACTGTTCCCATCTCTGGGCTGGGGCTCCCCAGTGCCAGCTCCTTCCACTTGACCGCAACCAGCGCAGAGCGGCTCGAATCGTCGACGACCGAGTCTCATTGGCACTGCGAAGAGATGTTGCATCTCTTTGCATTTTCTTTCGCATTTACCATGGGGAGTGCTCCGAGGAATTGTTCGGATTAATCCCAGCCGCCAAATTTCACGAACGCACATCGCGGCAGAACTCCCGATACCATCCAAACCATCTGGATGATTCGCGGTCCGCCACTGTGCGATTTAGATGTTTTCTTCCTCGCACAACTTCCTTGTGGAATAGTTTACCACCAGCGATTTTTCCGGACCGATACGACTTAGGGACCTTCAAGAAAAGAGCCTACTCCTTTTTAAAAGGCCGGCAACGCATCTGCAATTCCCCTGGAGTTGCGGTTGTTCATGGGCGGCGGTAGTCACTTACCATCAGGTGAGCCGCATGCTCGTTTGCCCCCTCTCCTATAAAAAAGAAACACCTACGACAATCTCTCACCACTCCATGGGTTGGCTGGTAGAGAATGCATTTAGGCATTAAGTCCGCCCTTTGTATCCTTTTTTTTCTAAGGGGACGCAATAAAGATTTTAATATTTAAAAAAAACGATAAATTAACTTTAACTAAAATATGATAATTTAACTTTTCTTTTTCTAATTTTGACGCTCAAACTAGCAATACTAATTAATGTTATACTTATATGAATTTTCTATTTAGGAGCTAATGTGGAGCGCGAAGCAGTTGCAATTGCAAGGGGATCCTACGTTACTTCGCCCGCCGACAAGTGCTTTCGGGACTCCGCTTGCACCCACGTGGGAACTACTACAAGTAAAAAAGAAGCTAAAACTGAATGATAAAATAAAATAAATTCAATCTTAGTGATTCAATTACCAACGTTTTAGGATAAAACCAAACCAAACACAAACTACTGTCGTTACTTATAGTTGCCGGCCAATGCTTTTTTACACTTCAATGTGACATTTATTTAGCCTGTAATGGTTAAGTTAATACTGTAATAATTCTAGACAAAAAACCTTTTTCGGAGAACTTAAGCTTCGTTCAGATCTACAGACATTGAACGTGACAGATACGTGGCGTTGCAGACAAAATAATGTTCTTTTATACACTATATCTATTATTTATTCTGTGACTATATTAGATATATTCACATCTAGCGCACGCAAGCGGAGCGTGTCCGCGCAGACACGGGCCGTCACCACAGAACACTAATACCCTTAGGCGGGGCCGTCACTAGCCAGCATTCCAACAAGAATGTTTTGTCTGTGTTGGTGCGTGCCTGCGGGTGTCTAATATATACATTTTGCTATGATATGTGTGATCGCAGGTACAGTGAAAACCAAAAAAAGATTACGCATGGAAAAAGTTTCATGAAAGAAGGATTTTATTTGTGAAAAATCTTCTAAGCACGTGCACTTTATAGTTTACCTGATGACGTCTGTTCATGCCGGGTGCGTGAGATGTGAAAACTGTTGTCTGTGCGGTGTCTGCCACGTTACGAGCTGGGCACGCTACGTGCTGGTAGAATAGAATATAGAATAAATAGAATAAATCTGAACGAAGCGTTATTGTCTCACCGCGCTTAGGAGGCAGATTAACAATAGCAATTTTGACAGCAGCATGTAAAGCTCCTCGTTGCCGTTTAAGTAGGTAACTCAAAGATCTTTTTTCGGATGATTTTCTTAATATTAATAAGTTTATTAAACGATACTATAATAATTATTTAGTCTGTGTATTCTTTTGCTATTGCTCAAAGAACAACATTATTTTTGTTTAATGACAATCTCCACAAGTACCAAACATCTAATATTTTTAAATTTATATATTATATAATTAGTATCTTAATATCTTTTAGATAAGTTGTTTATACTATGTATATGTAAAGTAAATGTCATGTATAAGGGGGTGTGTACAATAATAGGTGGCTTTTTGACTCGTAGGGCGGCGCGAACTCGCGATTGGGCGGTACAAGGGTGACTTTTCGCCTTCACTTGACTTACCCCGCCCCCTGACTCGCGATACGAACTGTCACCATGTATTGTACATTACACGCCTACAAAATATTGCTGACTGCTTTGTACATAATTATAATAAATACTTTTCATTTTCCAATGTAAGATGCTTTACATTACCTACACTACACGATACAAACAAGGAAAATAATAGTGTAAAATATTAGCAAGCATAGAAGGTAACTACTAATATTAGATTTAGATACACACAAATCGGTATCTGTTGTCATAAACTTAAGTAACTCAACAAACTTAGTTTAAATAATAATTATATTGAAAAATATTTCATTTTAATCAGGTACATTCAGCAGCGAAATGAGAAATGTTTATTCACTTTTTACATCACATTAGATATCTATATTTCTAAATCTATAACGCTTTGATGCCTAGATGAATTGCATAAAAATCCTCTAGAAGTTATTTACCTACTTCTAAAAGTTGTTTTTTTTAATTTCAAAAAATATTTAATAGGGCGTCATTTAAAGTAGGTAACTCAAAAACAGAATCAGGCATTGTTACAATCAAAAATGAGTATCTAAGCTTATTTGGCTTTACCATATTTACATATTAATTTTTATATGATATCCTAAATAGAATAATTCTAAATAAAATCAGTATTTCATATTTAGAATTTTCTTTTATCCTTTAGGAGACAAGTGCCCGTCTTCTATTCATGGCTGTGCGATGGGTTCGTTGCCTGGCCCCATTTCAAGCACTAGCACCGTCTGACCAGTTAGTACTGTTACGTGCCGCGTGGAAAGAATTGTTCCTGCTTCACCTGGCACAGTGGTCGGCACCTTGGGACCTTGCGCCACTGCTTGCGGCACCGGCGGCCAGGGCGCGCCTTCCACCCGACCCACTTGCCGACCTCGAATTGAACACTTTGCAGGTAAATAATAATAAGAAGGTTAATTTTACCTAATTGAAAAAAAAATTATATGAAAGTAGAACAGATAAAAAATTGACTTACGGCAGAATTAGAAGAGTAGGTATAACCATTTTAAGCAGAGCAGAGACTATAAAAACAGCAAAAAGGACGATAGAGAAACAAAAAGAAAAAAAAAGCGAAATAAACTTTACAGATAGTAGGTACCCATATGCAAAGTTTATTTCGCCGTTTTTTTTTTCTAACAATGGAGGGACTTCATTTTGTAACAAGATATAATTTACATTTTTTGCGTCAATAACAAAGTCATTTTATTTAGTTTCAAACCCATTCGCAATAATGAGTTTCTTAGTAGGTATACGTAGAATTTATAAAGGCATAGGTACATTATAAGTACGCTTGATACTTAGAAATAATAATATAAAAAAAACTTTTAGGTCACCTGCAAATATAAGTATTTTAAAAATAATTAACATCAACAACATAATATTATAAGTATATTGAATGACAGAGAATGCCTCAAGGCATTAAGTCCGCCTTTTGTATTCTTTTTGTTTTAAAGAATGCAATAATAAATAAATAAATACACTAAACCACAGAATAAATAATAGTACAAGAAGCTAAACATAAAATTTCATTCTAAGCGGCATTAGTCTTATACGAGTGGAGGTCAAAAAGTTCGCGGAATGGCGGGGTTGGCGAGGGCGAGTTTACTCATCGAAGTAGGCGCTAGTTGAGTGACTCATTCATTGTTAGTATATATACCAAAGTTCAGCCTAATCGGGTAAGAGTCGCATAGGCTAAGAGCATTGACATTACAGAAACTAGAATCGGGTCATTAGCTTTTGAGTTATCTATGAGTAAACAAGTCATTCGGGAAGAAACTAGCCACTAGGGAGACAATTAAATATCGCGCCGTCATTAAGTTTCTCACCAAACAAAGAAAGACACCTCAAACCATTTTTCAAGAGATTTCAGCTGTTTATGGGGACTCCGCTCCTGTGAAAACCATGATTTATAAATGGCACGCCCTTTTCAAACAAGGGAGGAACTCCATTGAAGAAAACCCCCGACCTGGACGGCCGATTGAGGCTAACACGCCAGAAATAATCGAAAAAATCGAAAAACTGGCAATGAAACCTGGATTCACCATTATGAACCTGAGTCAAAGCAAGAGTCGATGCAGGGGCATAAAAAAGGCACACCCCCTCCTAAGAAGTATAAGGTTTATCAATCGGACGGAAAGATCATGGCGACGATATTTTGGGATACAGAAGGTATTCTTTTGATTGGTTATAAGGAACGTGCTATTTCCATAACGAGAGAATACTACGCTTCTTTACTAGATCAATTAAAAGAAGTTATTAAAGAAAAAAGGCGAGGAAAGCTTACAAAAGGCGTGCTCCTTTTGCACGACAATGGGCCCGTGCACACAAGCCATGTTGCGACAGCTGCCATTCACTAGTGCGGGTATGAACAACTGCGCCACTCACCCTACAGCCCAGACCTGGCCCCAAACGACTATTATTTGTTTCCAAAAATGAAGAAAGAACTATGTGGGAAAAAAATTGGCGACGATAATGAAGTGAAGTCGGCTATTTCGGCCTATTTTGACACCCAAGACAAATCTTTGACAGATCCAATAAATGTATTAGGATTAAGGGATTAAGTATACATTGAAAAGGAAAAATAGTTTAATGTTTCATTTCATTATCCTTCCCTGTGATTCCGCGAACTTTTTGACCTCCCTAGGCTACGAAACTTTAAATCATGACTTTGAAGCCGCTATTCGACTATCGCTGTGAATCACATTACGCGTACAACCTGCCAGAAATATAACCTGCCATAAGGCCAGGACATGCCTGCTTACTGGGCCTATGCCGCGAATTGGGGAGGAGAGTAGCGCCATCTACAATACACCAACGTACTTTCGGAGTTAGCTCGGCAAGCGTTGTGCTACCACGATCTGCTCTTGTTTCACCGTTGACCAAACAACGGCTACTGAACCTCTTTGCTAGTAAACCACACCTAGCACAGCTTAGTTGGAGTGGTTAACGAAAAGATTATGTAAGAGCTATTTGTCAGAAATCTTTTTTGTATCCAATATCTGACTGCCTTTCATGTATTGCAAATAAACATTAAAACCTAAAACGTTAAAATTGAACATTAATCTGATTGTAAGATTTCTGATTTAGGGTAAAAGAAACAGTAAATGGTTTTATGAGCTGTGAGACATTTCATTTGAATACTTAGGCATTAATGACTTTTCTTGTTTGAAGATGGTTGTAGGTTTCCATAAACTGCACAGGTACTTTATTCTTTTTTACGTTACGGCTCATCTGATGGTAACTAACTACTGCCGCCAATAAACAACTGTAACACCGGATGAATTGCAGGTGATAGTGGTGTCACCTCCCTACCACGGAAAAGGCCCAGGTCCAGCAGTGATACGGGCTGATTAAAAAAATAAATTAACAATGTAACCGTATTATATACCTAAGCCAAAAGCTAAATATAATACCCGGCGACGAGGTATAGCGTCAAATTTGCAAGTTTTAATACCTACCACAATCTGCTTTACGGCAAATTCTTCCCACAAAGGGAGAATTTCTGTTGGACTCTTTGATAATTAGAGCTGTGGTAGGAAAGTTGGAGCAGAGCACTCGTTTTAAATATTAAAGATTTTACTGCGTAGGAGTACGTCTGGGTAAGTACTACCCTCTTACATGTTTCTGCCGCCAATTAGCAGTGCTTGCGCTGCTGTGTTACGGTCTGAAAGCTGTAGAGAGCCAGTATCATTATGGCGCGTCTCCACCAAAGTTTTCAACATTTGTCAACACGTGTTGCCGACAAATGTTTCTGTAATCACCTAGTTTTAGCAACAAAACGAAACAATGTCGGTAGTCGTGTTTCCATTTTCGGCGGCAACATCAAAGGAATACGCTTGTTGTCGACATTTGTTCCCTCGGTGGAGACGCTTCTTGCAACATTTTGAAACAAATGTCGTCAACTTTTGTTGATTTGTCAACAGTCGGAAACATAAATGTTGTCAACATTTTTGGCGGAGACGCGCCTTTACAGGCTGTGAGGATTCTTAGTCATCTATAGAATTTTAATAGCCATTACCAACCATCAGGGGATCTGTAAATTCGTTTGTCACTTCAGATTTATAAAAAAAAAAATACGGCGTCAACGAAATAATTCAGTGGATATTACACAGTCACTACACAATAGGGTATGTAATTGCTATGTAAATAAACGAATTGATATAATTTCAGGAAATTCTATGCCGGTTTCGACAAATAGCACCCGACGGTAGCGAGTGTGGATGTATGAAAGCAATCGTACTCTTTTCGCCTGGTAAGAACACATTTTTGTTCATGATTATTTATAGTATTTAAATTTATTTTTAATAAAATGATGCGTAAAAAAATCGTATGTTAATACAATAATTTTACCTAATAAACTGGATCCCAAGCACTATCCGGTCTTTAAATTTTTATTAAGTAGGAATAGATGAATTCTATCTTTAACAAACTGTGTGTCTGTGTACTTAAAATTTTATAGTGCGAGCAGCCGCCTACGTTCGACATGTAGATATTCGGTGGTGAAAATTCTACAAGTCCTAAATATTTATATAAGTAATTACTAGCGATCCGCCACGGATTCGCACGGGTGATTTCTGAATCTCAACAACAGCTTCACCTACCCATCCAGGGACCCACTCAAACACACAAAAAATTTAAATAAAAGCTTTTAGAAAAATTTACTTCGCAAATATCCGCGTTATAAAATAAAATGATGTGTCTTACCTAGTATGAAGAAGCACCTCCCGCCCTCCCTCAATTGCGTGCACTATCCCCGTCACCACTAATCCCAGCACCGCTACTTCCAACACCACTACACTAGGCAAGACACACCACTGACGATAATACGACACGTGTTTCGCCTCTACACGAGGCATCCTCAGGTGATACAGACTCTACGGTGGCTAACCGCTAAGTGAACGGCGAGCCAAAACAAGTGCCTTTTATACAGACAGCGGTGGCGTCATCGGTCTGTATAAAAGGCACTTGTTTTGGCTAGTGCATTTGGATTTCCGCAAAGTAACGCCTGATTCTATTAATTACACAAAAAATTTCATCAGAATCGGTTGATCCACTTTCGAGTTTTAGCGAATCTAACGGACAGCAATTGATTTTTATATATAGAAATATATAAAAGGCCAATGCAGCTCAACTGTATTTTCCCTGCGTAACCATTTCTCAAAATTTAAGTTAGTTTTAGCTTTCAGTTACTGAAATGCCCTCTCAGAAATGAAAGGAAGGTTAGCATATTCCTCTACTGTAGGACAGACAGAACGACGTTATAAAGAGTTCCACTCTTTATAACGTCGTTCTGTCTGTCCTCATATGTCACTTCGTCATAACTTCAGACTAGGGTGTTATGAGAGAATGGAGTAACAGTGTTGTAAGATCTTTTAAAGTACAACAAGTGAAAAGTACTAAAATTCGCTGCACCCACCGGTTCAACACGTTACACGAAGCAGAGAGCATGACCATTGACCAACCCTTTCACACACAGATTTCATTGTACACAGTGGCGTAGCTACCCAGGGGCTAGGCGGGGCAGTGCCCCTGGGCGCCCAAGCTAAAAGGGCCCCTCGGCCTCCAAGAACGACGTTCTAAAAATTATGTACTATCCTAGTTGTATAAAGAATTTTCGAGTTTTAACTTCTTGGCCCCTGACCACGGATCTCACTTCCAGAACTTAAATATAACATTGTTAAAGATACTTATCGTCTACTTAGTTTTATTCTTTTTTATATAGAAGAGGGGGACAAACGAGCATGCGCCTCACCTGATGGCAAGTGTCGACCACCGCCTATTAACCGATACAACACCAGGGAATTGCAGCTGCGTTGCCGGCTTGTTAAAAAGGAGTGAGCCCGTTTCTTGAAGGTCCCTAAGGCAAGTCAACAAAGAAATCGCGAACAATTCCTCTGAACTCTCCCCATGGGAAATGCGATCGAAAATGCAAAGGGATGCAACATCTCTTCGTCTCGTCTTTTGTCTTCGTCGGTCGTCGACGACGATTCGAGCCGCTCTGCGCTTGATGCGATCAAGTGGAAGGAGCTGGTATTAGGGACCCCGGCCCAGGGATGAGAACAGTATTCCATGTTAGGCCTAAAATATTGTCACGCTCTGCTGAGAACGCCAAACTTTTTAGAGGGCAATTGAGCATTCCCTTTCAACCTTCCAAGTGACCACGAAATTGCACGCTATTTGATATGTCAACGCCGAAGATTCCGATACTGGCTGAGGTAACAAGGGGAGTGCCCTAAAAACTGAGAAGATACGGTTCTTTTTAGCGGTAAACGCGCAAATTTGCATCTTCTGGGATTGAACTGGAATAAATTTAATCGCACCCAATCCGAGACTTTGTTCAGCAAAGACTCGACTTCAGACACAAGTTTGTTCCGGTACTCGGTGACGTTTTCTCGAGAAATATAGGCACATCCAGTATATAAAGCATCACCAGTGCACGATACTGGCTTGCAACATGTTATTGATAAGCAGAAGAAACAGCGTAGGTGATAATAGCACTTAGCCTTGTGGAACACCAGCATAAATAGGCGTGTAAATGGAGCATGCATCTTCTACTACAACTTTGTTGCTCCAATCTGCAAGAAAACTGGTGATCCAGTTGCAAAATTCTCGGGAAGCCCATAGTAAGGGAGCTTCGGAATAAGCGCTTTGAGCCAAACCCAATCGAAGGCCTTCGCTATGTCCAAACTAACGGCCAGGATCTTCCTCTCTGCCTCCGCCGATTTACGCGTCTGGTAAGCCAGAAGATCACCATCTGAGCAACCCCGACGGAAATCGTACTGGTGGTCACTTTCCAGTTGGTGATCCTCAACCTCACGAGCTTGCAGTTCACAATGTTTTTCATTATTTTGGAGAACATGTTGGATAGGTCTGACAGATGGATTTTCGGTTATTTTTTAGGGATCTGGTGCACTAAAGCTGTCTTCTTTGATGTCGGGACTACGCTTAGGGAGAAAGAGTTTTAGAAAAGACACGTTACGTACTCTGCTCAGGCGAAGTAACCATTTGTGTCGGACCATATGCCAAGGCAAAGTCAGAAACAGATGTTCCCGCATGATCGGTTAAACGAGATGCGTGGTGACCGTTAAAATCACCAAGGATCACGATCTCTGCAGATGCGACCTGTTGTAGCACGGAGGCTGCAGCGGTTTGGACGTGGTCGATGAGTTGGTCTGTGTCGGCATTACCTATAGACGCACCCGTAGACGCGAGGAATGTTGACGCTGACCTCCTCTGACGTATACGCAAACTCCAGCCCGAGGCACAAAGGTGCTCTAATTTTTACCCTGGATATGAGAGAAGTATCGACCTGAAAGGACACCTGCGTTTCTGTTAGAAAGAGTAAGGTCGGCTTCGCCGTCTTCCGATGGTGACTAGTGGACTTCGTTAACGTTCGAATGAAATCCCCTGATATTGCAGAAATTAACGGGTGGCAGGGATCACCCGTGTCTTATTGCTCTACTTGCCACGAGCAGTATTAGTCTTGAGTGGAATTTCAACCCCCCCCCCCCCCCCCCTCCTAGGATAGGCCAGGCAGCCTGAGCACCCACACCAAGGAAGAGTAGGGTAGCTTGTGCGTGGATGCTCAGCCAGGGATTCTCCAATACTTCTTATTTAATTATACTACCATGTTAAAGGGGAGAGGGGTTAGATTTCCGACCACCTGCACTTACCAGGCGAAGTAAACTTCTACTTCACGCTGGTTATCTGTAAGGTCGTGGGACCTCCTCGGTTCAAGCCGATCCACCCATTCATTACATTTCATGTTTTACTAGATCGTTACTCTAATCTTGTCTGGCCCACCCGTGCGACAGCAAAAGCTGCCGTGTGTGGCTCTTCCACTGTTATGTTATCTGCAAATATTTCTTTCATTGTTTATGCGTTACACATAATACTTTGTAGTAAGTAGCTTTGCTTTATTATACCCTTCAGTAGGCGACAAGGAGCTGAAGATGATGTAGTTTTGCACCTTTAAAGTATTTAGTTTAGTTTAAATAGGGCCGCAATTTGATTTTTGCCCCGGGCCCTTGGTTACATAGCTACGCCACTGATTGTACAGTTAGTGAACACCCTTGTAATAGGCAACATGGGACCACACGTACAATCATTATTCTCTCACATTACATAAATATACGTATGTATTAATAATTAACATATGAGCTAATAGTACCTAATAGCACAAATATACTACACAGCTTGGCGTTGAATTGAATTAAAACCATTCTACGCTTCTCGTCATCAAAAACACTAATCCTAAGCTTTGAAACATAAAAACTACTTAACTAAATTTAAAAAAAAATCTTTCGAAAAGGCTTCATAAATTTTAAGGGACCAACAGGCCCGACAGACGTTGTTTTGCCTTTTCCGGCAGATGGCGCGATGAGTTTCATTCCAAATTTATTGTAGGTAAATATAATTTGACGACTGACGCTGTGAACTGTGATCACCACCACAGTGCCACCCATCGGTTCCAAATTTTGTAATTTTCTTTTTTGGGACTAAACCAATATATTGTGAATGAGTCATTTGGTGCATAAATATAGTTTTATAATAACTTGACTACAGCGCCACCTATAGTCAGTTCGGCGGGAGTTGATAAATATTTTGAAAACATCTCGCAATAGCGATCTGTGTGACGTGCGTCGCTTATGGCCCCAAAACACAGTTTATAGCACGAGGCGCAGACATCGTAAACCAAAGTGGCAGATTGTACTCTGGTGTACGTAAAGTTTTCCGAAAGGTAGATATGCAAGTGGTCTAATATACTAAAACCTTCGGGTTTCGGTCTCGTTTAGGTCGGTAGTACTTATGCGAGACGATTCGTAGACTGTCGAAAACAGCACATAGACGCGATTACGATGATAGCGATCATTATTCTTTGTCATAAGATATTCATGTTTACATAAATGTTAAGTTAAAATATTACTTCATTTCCATAAAAGATCCTTATAAAAATATTAGTCGTATACGTAAGTCAAATGCTGTGAAAGTATGTAAATACAAGATGATGTTTGAAGATCGAATAATCAATTGCTAAGATTTATTTGGACTGATTTTTATTATTGGCGCAGTGGAGTCGTATAGATAATGCAACTCTGGTGGCAGGACGCGGGGCAGTGCGTCTCTGCAAACTTGTCGAGACATTACCGTGCAATAAGATTCTGTTATTATCTCCTTAAGCGTGCGCGTATATTATAAATACGATTTTTGTTACTTAGGCCTTATTAGCCGACAGGCCTTATTACCCGCAGGCACCTTATATTGGCGATTGAGATTCAAATTTTGGAGGCATATGACACAGATAAATTTAAGCGCAGCCATAGATTGACTACATTCGCGCGAATCGAATAATTAGGTACATTGAATCTACTTAATTCATAATTGTGTCTAGTCTTAGACCAAGAAAGAAAAATAGTACCTACCTATGATGACGCTGAAAACATGCTCTACTTCTTGCCACGAACTCACGCATACACTTTTCTCCTTTCTTTCTCTATCAGCCCGTAAATGTCTACTACTCACGCAAACATATTATGCTTATGCAAAACCATGTCGATGGTTGCATGTGTGCGTGCGTAACCGTCTAGTGGCGATGTAAGAATATAGACTGCTCCATATCATCTCGTGGGTGTCGTAAGAGGTGACAGAGGAAAACTAAAACTAATAACAATTCAAAATTATAAGAAATCTGCAGTTGCTAAACCCGCCTGCAGTGTGCAAAATCCCCCCCCCCCCCCCCCTAGATAAAAATTTTCGTCATTCAGCAGTGGACTTTTATACACTGTAATGGAAAATGGTAATGGTGTGCGTAAGTGCGAGCAAGTTCTATAACAAATTAAGCTTGATTTCGCCAGCATCTAAAATGTGTAACTACAGTGTTATATCTTTCTTTGTAGATCTGAGTGTATAATTAATAGGTGTTTCTTATTTTTACGAGCAGTATACCAGACCTTATTAATGTGACTTACTTAATTTGCCGTGTTATATTCAGATACACCTGGTTTAAGCGAGACTCAACCGGTTGAAATGCTCCAAGATCAAGCGCAGTGCATATTAGCGGATTACGTTCGCACCAGATATTCACGACAACCAACAAGGTAAACTGTACATAGAGCTCAAACGAAGATGTCCTGTTTTCCAAATAGGTACGTGAATGGCGGCTCGGTAGCGCAGTGCCTAAGCATTTGGCTACGATACGAGGCCGTGGATTCGAATCTCACACGGAAAAAGTGTTTGTATAGCCTACAAATAATTGTATCGGGTCTGAATTATTGTCCTTGTGTAATTTAAGTTCGTAAACTTCCACGATAAGAAAATCCTAATGCAATAACGCTTTTTAACAATAAAATAAAAATGAAACCCCGTTTATGCAAAATAACAGACGGTTTTTGTTAACATCAATTAACATTTTTTTTACATGGTAGCTATGCTGAAGCACATAACACCAACGTAAAATATCAGCTTAATGCAGTGTAGAAAACTGGACACTTTTTCATTCAGACTAGACCTCAGGGGCGAAACGCATCTGCATTTTGATTCTTAATCGAGGTTAGTTATAGATGTCTATAGGCTGCAACATCCACTTCAAGAGGTGGACTGTGTCATATGTGTAATAAATCTTAATAGTGGGTCAACTCCTTTGTTATACCGCAAGGCTGTTTCGACGTAAAGTCGCTAAAAATACGCAAGGGTTGTCACAAAAACATTTCCTTATATAATAATATCATAACATTATATTTTATCAGTATGCCTCGTAATAATTTATTTTTCTATACAAAGATACAAACTAATTACTACTTTACAAAACTAGTTGCATTCCGCAGCTTCAACTTATTCGTCGTGATGCAAAGGCTTGTGCTGGTACCTACCTAATTTTACTATATTTTACCTATATAGCAGTATCTCAGGTATTCTGCTTAAAATATTGGATTTAACGGGCGTACCGGATCCCGGTACGCAAGCGAAGCCGACCGGTACTACCGCAGTCGTCGCAGGCAGGGGGGGGGGGGGACTCCGCTCTCCTTCATACCGCATATATATACATATATCTTCATATACCCATCGTTGCTCCTTCTAGTCGCCGAGCTGACTCACTATTAGTATTTATTAATATGTGAACGAGCATACAGTCATATTATGACTGTGTGTTCGTTTGGTACCCTTACACTGTAAAAAAATGACAGTTTTTACACTTTCAATTTTCTAATTGTCTCATCCAACCACTACAATTTAAAAAAGAATGTGAACCTATAATTGATCTTACTAATTATTGCCATAAACAGATTCGGGCGACTCCTTCTCCTGCTACCTTCGCTGCGGGCTGTTCGCGCGCGCTCCATAGAACTGCTGCTATTTCGCGACACGGTGGGCGACGTATCAGTGGCCACGTTACTGCACGACATGTACAGAATGCAACCAGCGCCTGCGCCCGCCCCTACATTCCCCCCGCCGCCCACCGTCACTGAACATTGCGGCTCACCATAAATTATTAATATAAAACCGTAGTTTTAATAAAAGAAAATGGACATAAGAACAAAATGGAACTAGACTTTACAAATTCAATTGCCTGTGAAGAAGCGACTATTTCATCAAAAATTGCTTTATTTGAAGAATGTTGTAATATATATAACCAAAGAATTCTGTGTTCAGATATGGTTTGAAGCAAATATCTATTAATTTAATACTTTATCTAACTACAATTGTTTATATTTGTAATTAGTTTAAACAAAAAGCGATATTAATTATGTAAATATTATTAACTTGTATGCACATAGCTCATAACTATCGTCGTTCTTGGTCCTTTTCACGTCGTTATAGCTGATTTCAACTGTAGTTTCATGTTTTTAATTAATAAATTAATAAAATTCATGTTGTGTGCAATATCACGTGGTCAATTTGCTTATAATCTAGTCAAAAACCTAATTGTAAAATAATAAAGATAGAATAATAGTATTTATATTTACTATCATCCTAACAATAATATATGAATATTAGTAACAATAGTTTAGATTAAAAAGATCTAGTCAGGTATAAGAGCCCTATTATTTATAAATAAATTATGTCTATGTAAGAAAATGTATGTAAATGTAAATGTAGTTTGATCCAGTGTATGCAGTATTTAAATAAACTGAATTAGTAGAATTTTATATATCTGCATTTATTATAAAATCTAGGGAACAGACATATCGCTATACTCATGAAATAACTTATTTGTAAATATTTTATTGTGATTTATCAAAGCTAAGATATTAAAAAAAGGTGAAACCAATTAAACCTGTTAATATAAAGACAATATGTTACTTTGTTGTTTTATTTTTAAAAAATACATACATATTACAACACATAAGAGAAGCACGATCTGTTAATAACATAGTTAATATCAAATTTCATGAGAGATGGTCATACAATTGTTTTATAAAAATAATTATCAAGAATTATATTTTTGTTGAATGGTCACTAACTCAGCTAAAATGATTGCAAGTTCAACCTGTTATATTAACCTTATTTATAGACGAAATAGCTTCAACAGAAGACAAATCTACTAAATCATCCTTCTCTTCCTGTTGTAATGTTGGTTGCACTGCTTCCTGTTTTGGCTCGGCCCTAGGAAAATCTAACTTGCTCCATGCACCTGGTTCAGCTTTCTTCAGTTTAATTTCAACTTTTGTTCCAAGCATCGAAGCACTGCTTTGCTCTACATCAATTACCTAACAGAATGAATAACCGGATCTTAATTAAACCATCAAGATAAACAAATATTTATTAAAAAAAAGAGACAGAAAGATACTGGTTCTATTCATTAGAGCCAGGATTAAATAATAATAAAGAAACATTATATTAATGACAATTTTTTTAATATTGTTTCCTTAGACAAATCATTAAAACGAAGTTTCTTAACATACTGTCTAACTGAATAACTAAACATAAACATAAAAAATAATGATATGTTAATGAAAATACTTACTCCACGCAACTCCAAGTCCAATTCAAATACTGCATTGCCTTCTTCATGGAAAACCAACTTTGTATTCAAGCGAATTGGATTTAATTTTATATAGCTGGCGGTAGGATCATATTTTTTGGCATACACACTTACAATAACAAAATCAGGTGTTTGATGCCAATCCCAACGACATTTTACAGTACCAGCAGGTGTACCCTGGAAGACAACACTAATATAGAATTAATGTGTAAAATATAACCAAAAATAAATATTACAAAATAACTTCCTTTTTGCAAATAATACAACAAAATATAAATTTAAACCTTATCACTTTGTATATTAAAAATGGACACACCAAACTTTTTTAGTAATCATCTTAGATGATGAGATGATTCATCTATTCATTGTAATATTTGCAAAAATGATTGAAAAATGAAATTTTGTTTTATTATCCAATTTCATATCTATATTAAATATTATTAAATACATTTATTTACATAACATATTATACAATATTTTATTATACAGGGTTATTTTGCAATAACCGGCCAAATTTGCAGAGTGGGTTCAGAATGAGTAATATAGGCAAATGGTAAAGAAAAATTAATTAAAAAATCTCAAACATTCTGTCCTTTTTATCTTTTAAATTCAAAATGCGTGGTAATGCATTATTTTAAGTGATTTTACTGCGCACATACACATTCGTAAGGACTTTCTTACAACGAAAATCCGTGGAGCCCAAACTTGCCGACGCTGCTACCACATGGGGTTGACAAATCGCCGCTCCTAGTCGGATTCCTATGGCGATAGACAAGCTTTCCCCATCAAGTAATGTGCCGAGATTACTTGATGGTAAAGCGTGTAACCAGTGACTAGATTCCTTAGTCGAAACAGCTAGAAGGCGTGCTGGACCTTGGTCACTATGGAAATTATGAAATAAATCTTTCTGCACGCTCTGTACCAACGGAATATCCCACTGTTTTTGTTCGTTAACTTCCAGTGGAACATTCTCGCCCGACAGAGCGTTTGTCTGCCCTGCCTCCGTAGCAAAGCACAGGTAAACTTTATTATTTAAAATTATGTTACATAAGTCAATGACACTATGCACGGAAGTAAGGAATGCAGGCAATGGAACGCTAGAAAGATTTCTCACACCAATACCACCAAATTATATAGGTAGCCTAAGTCCAGGCTGTTGTTGTATTTAAAGTTAAATTTTGATTTTTTCTATAGCTATTTTAAGATTTTTATCAATATCTTTTAAAATATCCGTTTTATTATTAGTTCAATCATTTAATGATTTCTTATATTTACGCGAATGGATTTTATCGCGTTTAATTGTACTTGTTTTTAATTCCCAACGTTTTGGGAGCTTTCCAGCACCCATAACCGGCTTCAGCTTTTTAATTAAAAAGCTGAAGGTACTCCGGGTTAACTCTGATATCGGGACGTCAATCGCCTCAATTCCCCGTGATCATGGGTACTGGAAAGCACCCGAAACGTAGCGAATTAAAAATAAGTACAATTAAACGCGATAAAATCCGTAAAAGTAGTTTTATTTAATCATTTAAGCTAAAAAAAATTACAAAATTAATGGAGTACTTTTATCTTTCGGCATATGCACGTTATAGAGAAAAGTTCCCTCCCCTTCCTGGGTGAGCGTCACCCCCCCCAGAAAGTGTCCCAAAGCGCGGTTTTTTTCTAGTTTTAAAGATAACCGTACATAATACATGAAAAGTGTGTAGGTACAAAATGATCTTTCATAAATTTGCGATCAACCTCTTGATACATACAAAAAGCAAAATCACTTAGAGTTTCCGCGCAATCTGCCAAAAATATGGACATTTTTTTATTATTTATCGATTTTTTGTTCACTTTAGTTTTATCGAAAATTTCAACTTTACCGCCAAGATATATATGACTGAAGTAAAGAATAGAATATGCTCTTTAAAAAGAGGTATAATTTATTTCTAAACTCTTTCATTACACATTATTATGCTATGTTGAAAATTTAATTTATTCGGCCATTCTACGAAATATAAATTATTATATTATTATATTATAGTATTTTAGATAAAAATTTGGCAAAATTAGTGGAGTATTTTATCTATCGGCAAATGTACGTTACAGACCAAAGTTACATTTTATCCACTCTTCCTCCCCCTCCCGGGTGAGCGGCACCCCAACCCCCCACCCCGCGCACCAGAAAATGTACCCGAAGCGCGGTTTTTCCCAGGTTTAATGTTCATTTGTTAACACGAGTGGTAAAATTATATATTTTGTACACCCGACTTCAATATAAATTATTAAGGATAACTCAAAAACTACTGGTCAGACCTTGCTCAAATTTATATGAGGCAACATGAGAAGCACTAGCTTTCAAATAAAAAAAGAATCATCGAAATCGATTCCCACAGAAAAAAGTTATGAGGTAACAACAAAACATAAAAAAGTCGAATTGAGTACCTCCTCCTTTTTGAAGTCGGTTAAAAAGTAAGTTTCTGTAAGTGTAGGCCGAGCGTAGACCGACACCGGCGCCGGCTTAGTGGAAAAACGGAGCCCAAGCACGGTTATGGTGCCGTGCCGGCGAGTGGAAAATCGCACGTTCGACCTACGACATCTGCGATTATTGAGGAAGCTTAGCGATTTTGGACGACACAATTGTAAAGTTGCTGTTTAGAATAGAATAGAATAATTTTTTATTTAATATAGATCACATGTGTAAAATTCTTATTGAAAGTTATTTTTTACTTTACCACTGGTTCGAAAAAAGCCCTCTGGCCTAGGAAGAACCAGCAAGAAACTTTTTCAACGGGACTTTTCTTGGTAATAGAGAGCCTGTACACTTTCCGGGACCTTGTTGTAATAGCGTAAACATTGCCCCAAGAATGAATTACTGAATCTGTGGAGTCAAGAACTGGTATCACTAGCTTGTCTTTGTTCCTAGTGTTTCCAGAATGTATATCACTTTTTTTTTTCTAAAACTACATTTGTTTTGTGAACATATATTAAATTTCCGTAAATATACTGAGAGGCCAAAGTTAATTATATTTATTTCTTTAAATTTATCTCTAAGAGACTCAATTTTAGGTTGTAAATAGCTCTAATGTCTGTCTCTCTTCTGTAAAACAAAAATAATTTCTGATCAGCCGAATTTCCCCATAGCAAAATCCCATAAGACATTATGCTATGGAAATAACTGAAATAAACTAATCTAGGTCTCTCGACACTAGTGAGAACTCTAATATTTTTTACAGCATAAGCTGCAGAGCTTAGTCTGCTTACTAGTTTGGATAAATGAGGGCCCCACTGAAACTTTGCGTCGAGCGTGATGCCAAGAAAAACAGTGGATTCAACAGGGCTCAGTTCTTTTCCATTTAAAAACACATTGATATTCATATTTTTACATTCGATGTTGTAAATTTAATACATTTAGTTTTATTTCCGTTTAAATGCAGATTGTTAACGTTAAACCAATGCACTAATTTTGATATAGCATTATTCACTTCGTCACATTTAAATGATTGACGTATAAGTTTAAAAATCTAGGAAGTATCATCTTCAAATAATTCTATATAATGATTTTCCCCTACAAGGGAAGGTAAGTCATTAATATACACTAGAAATAGGAATGGGCCGAGAATCGAGCCCCGAGGGACACTCATTAGTACAGGTGACCCGGAAGAACTTTTACCATTGATGATAACTTTCTGCACTTAAATAAGAAATAATAAGTTTAAGCGCTATGTTCTTGGCACCCTAGTACTGATAGCTTCCTGATTAATATCTCATGGTGAACACAGTCGAAAGCCTTGGAAAGGTCAGTGAAGTGGAAAGGTTTGTGGAAAAATACATCCATTTCTCATTTTTACTCACACCGCACGTAAGTGTTTTTGCTACGATTTGTGATTTGTCGAATCTGATGTAGGTGATGATGATGATAAGAGTGAACCCGAAAATGTTCACAAATTGCAGACGTCCGAGAACGCCGATGGTTTCACGTCTTGGTTTTAAGGTTTTTTACAGACTTCAAAAAAGGAGGAAATTCCTAATTCGACCATATTTTTTACAGTTCAATGTTATTACTACTATTTATATTTTTCGTACATTAACTGAGCCAACAATTTTCACTTACATTGTATTCTTGATAAGCCATTCATAGAAAAACATTAAAAATCTTACCTCTTTAAACCATTTGTGGGTGCCTGTCGTGCAACCAGGTTGAGCCAGGAAAGTGTTGAAGTCTGTAGTTCTTTTTTGGCAACATGACCAAAATTTAAGGCCTTCATGAAACACCGGGCAACCGGGATGATAAGTACATATTGAATCATTTGTTTGTGGACCTTCATATGCTGTATTGCATCCTCCATTTTTACAAGTTGTACCTATAGCTATAGCACTGTAAATTGTAATTTGCAAAATGTAAGTTATAACAAAGTGATTTACTTTGTGTCACTATTGTGAGATTTTACTGAAATATGACATTTAAATGTGTGGTAAAGTCTAGAAACCAACACATTTAAATGTGTTGGTTTCTAGACTTATCCTAATATATCGAAACGGAATCAATATATCATACCCATCTGGATCAGCAACAGCCTTTTGATTAGACTTTTGGACAGTATTTTTCAATGAGTCAGCTATACGGGCTTCTAAAGTTACTAAAGGAGTGTCAAATGGAGGTCGCGGTAACTGTGGTCCAACTACTGGAGCTCTAACTTCAATTACTTCCTTTTTATCCAATTCTTTATCTAATACTTTCTTCTCAGGTTCTGGTGGTTTCTGTAAAAGAACACAATATAATAAATAATTATTGCACTTAAAAAAATATATTACACCTTTATTTTAGTTCTAAACCAGTAAATTTATTATACAGATCTTGAGTCATAAATATATTTCTGCTTTTTGTATTTTGCTTGTATTTGTACTAAATCATTTGAACATTTTTAAGCATTAACCATGATACTGTGCTATGAACAAAATAAAAGTCCCAAAGCATAACATACTTACTACATTAGAGTGTCTGGATAAGGTACATCCTTTTATGTTCAAAAATTCTGTGAAATCAACACTCTTTTTATTACAACATGACCATCCTTTATAGGCATCATGAAACACTGGGGCACCAGGATGATGACAGCATTCATCTAAAGCATGGGAGTGATAATATAGTACATATATAAAAATGATATTACAGTTCTTATATATATTGCGCATAGTGCATTCATATATAGTTATACATTCCAGAGATACTGTTTGTTAAGACTATATTTTATAGAACCTGTTTACCAACAGTGGTTTGTTTGTTTTAACAGTGGTAGAGACACGCGGCAGCTTTTGCTGTCGCACGGATGGGCCGGCTCAAACCGGGGTGGTACCACGACCTCACAGAAAACCAGCGTGAAGTAGAGGTTTACCTCTGCGTTTCGCTTAGTGAGTGCAGGTGGCCGGAGGCCCTTTTTACTGGAAATGAGGCATTCCATCTTAGTCTTCACGGGTCTTCACATTTTTATTTTTAATAGAGGACTTACATGACAACCACTTACATGACAACCACTTACCATCAGGTGGACTGTGTGCTCATTTGTCACCCTCATCCTATAAAAAAAAAACTAACATGACCATGAATATATTTGTACCCTGGCATATCCCTAATTCATTTCATACGCAATTAGAACACACATAGTTTTTTCTTTTGTTTGTATGCCATTACATTTTATTAGGCCTGTGCAGATCGCACAATCACTTTGATTTGGACACATCCTGATGATCAAGGTCAAACCATGAAATTCGATATTTTTAACCCGCATTCTGTTGATTAGCATTGTAAACGACAATCCACAACAGAAGAATGATCAAACCCTGGTTAGTACAAATAAGAAATCAACCTAGGCCTAGATTCTACCCATGTTTAAAAAAAGTTTCGATATTTCATTGTTGCATCTACTCAATTGAGTGTGAGAAAAACTATATTCTTTAATTTATTTTGTTGTGACAATGTAATTGAATGTCATAAAATCATAATCATATTGTAGAACCAACTTACTTATGTGTATTGTTATTTCTTGTTATCAGAAATATTATTCCCTGCATTTTACTGCAAATTACTACTAATTTTTGTGGCACATTAAATCATACTAAATGTAATTTTATAAGTGGCAACGCCCTGGTGGCAGAAAAAGTCGTGGATGCATGCAGGATATCATTGTTTTGAGGTTTCCACTTTAACATACATGTAACGAATGTGCATTTATCATTATATTTATACCTAAATAATGATAATATTATCATACCCCTAGGAATTAGGTGGTCACTACCAAACTTTTTCTAAATGTTTAGATAATTAATTGTATAAATTATTATATTATAAATTAACATTAAAAAAAATGTCGCGCTAAGTTTCCTGCTGGTTCTTCCCAGAAAATAAGTTTTTTTGATTCAGTGGTAGAGCTTAAATCACTTTCAATAAGTATACTTGTGATCTATACTGAATAAAAAAAAATCTATTGTATTCTATTGTAAGATTAATTACAATCAAATTTTTTCTTTACAATTACAATAACCCCATTGTATTCTATACAAAGGGTCTACATCTAAAAATTTTATACCTAAAAAATAAGAGCTTTTTTGCAAGTTACTGCATCCCACATCGCATCACCTGCTGAACCTAGCTTATTTATGCATTTGAAAATTTCATATTATAAATCTATTTTATAATTACACTTTAACCACTTGAGCCACTGTCAAGTTCTGGATTTATACATGAGATAATCCAACGTCAGCTTTGTAGAACGCTCCAAAGACTATGGCAATATTTAGAAAGGAGCCCTCAGAACCTTAGAGCATATAATCACTACATTTAGTCAGAATGATAATTAAGAGTGCTCAGAGCAATTCTTTTTTAAATGTTACTTATAAGAGTTATACAACTAAAATTTTATAAGAATTAGTTTAGTTACTAAATTACACTTCTCTAAATTAAGAGAATTTACTTCAAATGACAAGCGTGAGTGTAAGAGGCAACTTCAAATTTAAAAAAAAATTAAGTGGGTACAAAAGAAAGTTTTTTGTTAGTTTTTTATATAAAAGGTAAATAATTACACTGTTTTTAAAAGTTATTAGCTTATATTTTGCTTTGTAACAATATTATAGAATTTATAAAATTTCCATTTCAAATACTGGGTTGTTCATATCACTTTATATTTAATAAAATAATATAATAAAATAATAATAATAGAAAATTAAATATTATAATTTCGCTATATAGTGAACATTATGGTGAAGTTGTTTTTAATTTTTAAGAATAATTAAAAATATTGTACAACCGACTTCAATATAAATTATAAGAATAAGTCAAAAACTCAGAACTTGATCAAATTTATATGGGACTATATGTGAATCATCGAAGTTGGTACACCCAGTAAGAGTTATGGTAACACACAAAAACATACAGTCGAATTGAGTACCTCCTCCTGTTTGAAGTCAGTAGAAAAATGGCATTGGTCAAAGATAGCATAATGAATTTTATTTTTTAAAGGCTCCTACTGAGTATATCGATATAATTATATTATATATTTCTTTTCTTTATGAAAATCGAGTGTTTCTATGTCCTTGTTTTATTCTTCATAGTAGGTATTTGATTTTAACATATAGATATTGAATTTTAACATAATACGAGGATTTGTTAGATTTGCCTTAGTTGTAAAAGTGAAAAGAAAAATATTCAAATATTATACATTTAATTTTTTTCTTTTCAGTAAGCTTGTTTGATTTTATTATTTATTACTGCTTTAACCACTGAACTTGTTTACGCAACTTTTGTTTAATAAATTGTTTGATGTTGATATTTGATGACTTTTTTTTTACACACAAAAATATTTTTTAAATAATGAAACTGCCCCCTCCCTCTCCTTACAATTTCTTTCCACTGCTGGCCATTGGCCATGGAAATAAAGAGGAGCACAAAATTTCACTGCCACAAACATGCCTTTCATTGCTACGCTAAACATCACACGGAGCATCCGCGTTCCACTGAGATTAAATTTAGAAAAAATGTTCGTTTTTTTTTCTCCTACATTTTTTTCTTATCACTATTACCACAAACACCATTACAGCATATAAAAACCCCCGCTGAACATAGGCCTCCACTATATGCCTAATAGAGGGTTTATTTGTCATAGTTGCCATGCTTGGTAAGCGGGTTGGTTTTTTCTCTTTAGTCGTTATTAGGAAAACGCTGCTGCCCATCTCCTGATTTATTTCCAAAATAACGTTATTCTTTTGTGTCACCACCGTACTATTTTCTCAGATACTCCAGCTACGCTACCAGAGACTGGCATGTATGGCTGCCACAGGCTGCATAAGAACTACGCCAACAGCAGCCTTAGAAGCGATGCTGGAGCTAACTCCGCTTCATCTACATATACAACAAGAAGCGACTTTAGCTGCCGTCAGACTCAAGACCCTAAATCTTTGGAGTAAGAATAGTGTCCCTCATACAGGCATAATTGATAGAATTCACTCAAAAATTCCTATCCTACAAGCCAAATACGATAAGATTTCTAAACAATTTGTTTTCGATAAGAAGTACAAGATACAATTAAATTAAACCAGCCGGCCGGAAGGATTAAGCCCAAAAGAGCTTAGAGTTTTCACCGATGGTTCTAAAACTAATGAAGGTGTAGGTTCTGGAGCTTTGTCTGAAGACCTCAATATTCACATATGCTCACCACTGGGTACCTATAACACGGTCTTTCAGGCGTAATGTATGTTTATCATTCAAGCAGCCATAGCAATAGGTGCTATGAAGGTTAATGGCTTCCCCGTCAGAATACTGACCGACAGTAGGGCGGTACTACAAGCTCTGAGTTGCAATGTGGTGAACTCGGGACTAATATATGAATGTCATCAACGATTAAATGAGGACTCTGCAATGGATAAAGGGAAGCGATGCAGCAGACGAATTGGTCAGAAGAGGATCGGCTCTGGCCACTATACGGCCGGAACCAATCACACCAATCCCCTTTGGTAACATTTGTTCACTGGTATGTAAACACTTCATTAATCAACACGCTCAGCTTTGGAAAAATCTAGTAGACTGTAGACAAGCTAGGGAAGCCCTGCCTGAAATAAACAGTCGCTTAACCAAAGTTTTAATGAGACTGAACAAGCCGCAGATCAAGATAGTAACAAGTGCTATCACAGGACACGGCACCTTTAACAAACATTTATTTACTACAGGTGTTACAAATAGTACCCTGTGCAAGGCATGTATGGGGGAAGAAGAAACGGCGGCCCACATGCTACTGAAATGTCCGGAGGTCGCTAGGTACAGGGCCAAACATATCGGCACGCTGGGATCACTCCCCGAAGTTGCATGCAACATCAAGGGACTGTTGAGCTTCTTCGGGGAGATCTCATGGCTCAAATAATCATATTATTCCTGCCCACACCCAAAATACGCGCAGAGACTTGGAGTTGCGGAAAATAGCCCGTTGTAAACTAAACTAAACTTCTCCATTACTCTTGTTACTGATTTGACCAAACAAAATGAACTACACATACCTTACTACTGTGCAACAAGGTACGTGTATCATGGAACAGTGGATCAGTCACCTCTTACGAAACCTACAGAATGGTATGAATATTCATACACCACCACTACACAGTAATTGATAATTTCTCAAAACATTTAATTTATCGACAAATTGTCTTACAATTACAATCGTCATTACTCTAACACTCACTTGACCTTCACACAAATAATTCAATAAGAGATCATTTATAATGGTATCTATCTTGTTTTTCATAAATTGGATTTATATTTACATTATAAATGCAAACATGAAAAAATATCGAAATTTTAGAAATAGATTTTATTTGTGAATCGATACATCTGCTTATGATACAAATCGATTTATAAAAGCAATCTTTTTCAGAAAGAATCAACATCCCTACTGACGATGACAATGACAATACAAAATAGCATCAGTTTTACAGTAGGAACTGACATAAATATTACAAAAATAATTGATTTTCAATATTTTTTTCTCAAAAAGTATGCGTTTCCGCATGATGAAACTTTGCGTGTGTGCTTATAATGATGTAACCTTTCTGTAAAAAAAATACCAACCCCGAACTCAACGGAGGTCAATGGAAAGTTGTACCAATATGGGTTAAAATGTGAACACATAATGAATTACCTTACTTTCAAATTGAAAATTTAAGGTCTTCTAAATTAATTTTCATGTTGGGACATCTTTACTACACTTCAAGTGAGACAATTTATAGAATAACTAATAATATTAATATAATTTTGAAAATCATCACATCAATAAATGTTTTTTTTTATATTTGTTTTTCGGACTATCAGCAACAGCCTTAAAAAGTTTATGCTGTAGATAAAAACAACATTGACACCATTATGTAAAACGTTTTATTTTTTCTCGTTCCGGAAAAACACGAAACGAGTTACCATTAACACTAACAATAATGAAAATGTGCTGACAAAACATGTAAATTGTGTGATATTCAAAATTTATAGTTCTAGAAGAATCTAACCTTTATCATTGCTATCGAGTTCGAAAAGTTTACCGCATCCACGATTATAGCACTGAACCAAATTTTTATTTTCAGGCATTTTTCAGTTGTCAAATGCAAAAAATAACAGCAACAAGCAAAGAGATAAGAATCACATCTACAAATACTAGTAGCTTCTACCAAATGCTAGAAAGCACGACAAAATCCAATATTTTTTGAAAATGTCACACTGGCACACTTGACATTTACTTGACAATCACTGACAATGACAAATGACATTTCTTTTTTTAAGATTTTGGGATTGGATGCTTGTCTTTTAAGCCATGTCTTCATTTCATTTTTTTTTTTTTTTTTTTTTTTATAGGAGAGGGGGCAAACGAGCATGCGGCTCACCTGATGGTAAGTGACTACCGCCGCCCATGAACAACCGCAACACCAGGGGAATTGCAGATGCGTTGCCGGCCTTTTAAAAAGGAGAAGGCTCTTTTCTTGAAGGTCCCTAAGTCGTATCGGTCCGGAAAAATCCCTGGTGGTAAACTATTCCACAAGGAAGTTGTGCGAGGAAGAAAACATCTTCTAAATCGCACAGTGGTGGACCGCCAATCATCCAGATGGTGTGGATGGTATCGGGAGTTCTGCCGCGATGTGCGTTCGTGAAATTTGGCGGCTGGGATTAATCCGAACAATTCCTCAGAGCACTCCCCATGGTAGATGCGAAAGAAAATGCAAAGAGATGCAACATCTCTTCGCAGTGCCAATGAATCGAGCCGATCGGAAAGGGCTCGGTCGTCGACGATTCGAGCCGCTCTGCGCTGGATGCGGTCAAGTGGAAGGAGCTGGCACTGGGGAGCCCCTGCCCAGAGATGGGAACAGTATTCCATGTGAGGCCGAACCTGCGCCTTGTAAAGTTGCAGGCGGTGTGCCGGCATGAAATACTGTGCCGCTCTGCTGAGCACGCCAAGCTTTTTAGAGGCCAATTTGGCCTTCTCTTCCAAGTGACCACGAAACTGCACGTCACTCGATATGTCGACTCCGAGGATACCGATACTGGCTGAGGCAAGAAGGGGAGTGCCTTGAAACTGAGGAGATACGACAAAGGGGTTCTTTTTAGCGGTAAACGCGCAAACTTGTGTCTTCTGAGGATTAAACTGGACTAGATTTAGTCGCCCCCAATCCGAGACTTTGTCCAGCAAAGACTCGACTTCAGACACAAGTTTGTTCCGGTACTCGGCGACGTTTTCCCGAGAAATATTGGCCCGGCCGGTGTATAGAGCATCACCAGTGCTGTCATCCGCATAGCAATGAATGTTACCAGTTAGCAACATATCATTGATATGCAGAAGAAACAGCGTTGGTGATAGCACACAGCCTTGTGGAACACCAGCGTTAATAGGCTTGTAGTCAGAACATGCACCGTCTACAACGACCTTGATGCTCCGATCTGCAAGAAAGCTGGTGATCCAATTGCACAATTTCTCGGGAAGCCCATAGGAAGGCAGCTTTGAAAGAAGCGCTTTGTGCCAAACCCGATCAAAGGCCTTCGCAATGTCCAGACTAACGGCCAACGCCTCCCCCTTGGACTCTACTGCCTCCGCCCATCTATGGGTCAGGTAGACAAGAAGATCACCAGCTGATCGACACCGACGAAAACCGTATTGGCGGTCACTAATCAGCTGGTGATCCTCAAGGTACCGGATGAGCTGGCAGTTAATAATGGATTCCATTATTTTGGAGAACAAGGAGGTGATCGCGATAGGCCTATAGTTGGACGGGTCTGAGCGGTCGCCTTTTTTAGGGATCGGGTGGACAAAAGCTGTCTTCCATGAATTCGGGACTACGCCTTGGGAGTAGGAGTACCGGAAAAGACGCGTTAGGACCGGTGCCAACTCCGGAGCACACGTCCTCAGCACAATTGGGGGGATTCCGTCAGGCCCACTCGACTTCTGGATGTCCAGGGAGAGCAGTGCTTTGCGAACCGAGCGCTGAGAGAACAGCACATCCGGCATGGAGCACTCACACCGCGGGATGGTCGGCGGTGTTTTCCCCCCGTCATCAAGAGTCGAGTTGGACGCAAAAAGGGAGCCTAAAAGGTCGGCTTTGTCTTTTGCGTCATGGGCCAGTGAGTCATCCTCCCTGTGCAGAGATGGTAGTGATGGCTTACAGAAATTCCCTTGGACAGCCTTGGCGAGAGACCAGAATGCACGGGTTCCCGAAGGAAGGCGAACTAGTCTCTCGCCAATTCTGCCTATGTGCTCTGACTTTGCCTTGGCAATAACTCTTTTGAAGGACCTGGAGGCGAAGTTATACTTCTTTTTAAGTGTGCTGGTGTTTACATCCCGAGTCACCGAAGCTGCAGCCCAGGCTTGATAACACTCCTGCTTACTGCGCAATGCAGTCTTACAGGAGCGACCAAACCAAGGCTGAGATCTGCCTCCGATGGGTACCACAGATGATGGAATAAATAGTTCCATCCCCTGTAGCACCACATCAGTGACAGAGTCAGCAACAGCACTGGGATCATCCGGCGAGAAGCAAACCCGCCCCCATGGGTAGGATGCAAAGAAAGACCGCATTCCGTCCCAATCCGCCGACCTGTAATGCCAAACACGGCGGCAACCTGCAGAACGCAACCGCGAAGGGAGCGTGAGTGGCACCATACTCCGGATCAGACAATGGTCCGAAGAGCCGAGAGGGGCATCGACGGAAACCTGATATCCGTCCGGATGAGAGGTCAGCAGAAGGTCCAACAGGGAAGGTGTATGATCCTCCACATCTGGAATCCGCGTAGGCGAAGTAACCAGTTGTGTCAGACCATATGCCAAGGCAAAGTCATAAACAGATCTCCCCGCATGATCGGTTAAACGTGAACCGAGCCATTCGGCATGGTGGGCGTTAAAATCGCCAAGGATCACGATCTCTGCGGATGGAACCTGTTGTAGCAAGGAATCTGTAGCCATTTGGACGTGGTCGATGAGTCGGTCTGTTTCGGCATTACCGCTATGGGACCTATAGAGGCACCCGTAGACGCGCGGATGGTCGTCGCTGTCTACGCGTAGCCAAAGGATGGACAGGTCCGAACCTTCAAGACTGCCGAGGCGTCGAGAACAGATGTCCTCTCTAACATACACGCAAACTCCAGCCCGAGGCACAAAGGATTCATGATCTTCGTTTTTATAGATTTTCAATATCAAGTGATAGTAATCCTTTATAGTACACTGGTTCAGAATTTGTTGGTGCGTCACATTGCGTAGTTTTTGGGAGATTTTGATGGCAACTTAGTATCAATATACAATATACATACATAGTATCTCAAGCGTTTAAACAGATAGACACCTTATTTTGAGATTCACATCACCATCGGAGCAGTTGTCTCACCGTTTCCACTAATAATTCACATGCGCAGACATTTAATGCACAAAATCGCACAACTTTTACATATCCAAATCCACTTCAAACCATTACAGGAGTTGCAATCCGCTAAAACTTTGACAAATGACACCGGCGGGCTAAGCATTCCAACTGAAAAATCGATATCTAAAATAATCGATTGTAAAGAGACGAGAAACAGATAATTCAAAACAAAAAAAAATATTTATTTTTGCAAGAAGTTCTTTTTCGCACCGCACAAATTTGACGGATGGTGGCTGGGCAAGAAAAAGTGTGAAATTTTCCCATCACGATCACTTTCTATAGTGCGAACGAGATGGAATAATATTCATCTCCCTCGCACTTTTTCTTATCTTGCAATGAAAGAAATAATATTTTAAATGACGCTAGTTATTTATTTATTTGTATTTGTTAATCAATAATATAATACGTTTATCTATAATAATATACTACGAAAGGAAATTAGTTCCAACCGAGTGTTCCAAGACACTTACACATGTTTAAAACAATAATTTTTATTTCTAGAGATAAAATTATAAAAATTAAAGACTGAACTAGGTTACAAACAAAGTTATATACTTACTTTCACTACAACTAGTTGATCATCATCATAGTTTAAAATTGTTGTGTTTATTAGTATTAATTATTATTTGATTTCAGTAAGAATATTCTTTGTTTTCTCCATCACTTTGGATTGATAAATTAGTGTAGGGACAGATTAACCCTTACCTAACTAATAACCCTATTACACTACACTGAATCAGGGTCCCTAAACCCATAAAAAGAGATTTAAAATAAAAGTAAGGCAGTAAGGGTTCCTAATAATAGCGTCAGAATGGATCCGGTCCACAGTGCGCTTACCACCGTGCAGAGTAACAATAATTAGGGTAGTTAGGGCACTTATTCAATTCGCGACTAAGAATGAAACGATACATCAATTTTTATAAACATCGATACATCGTTCATAAACATCGTTCTTCTTGAGCGTTGTTTTATGAACGATGTTTTGGCTTGCCTTAAAAAAGTCAGAGCCACGAGCTTCCGAAATAACCAACTATTCGTATATTAATAATTGCGAACGATGATTATCACGAATTTTAAGTCAACGAAAAAAAAATATACGAAAAAAAAATGTCGAAGTTAGATAACGTCTAAACTTTTAAAGTTAAAAGGTTTATTTAGTAGAAATAATTCATTAACATAGCTCACAAATATTGCAAATGGATTAATATTGTTTTATTAATAAATATATTGTTTGAGCTTTAACTTGATCAATAGCTTAAGAACAGTCTTATAAAGTAATAATTATTTTGTAGCGGAAATTGTTTTGTCGGCTTACGGTATTTTATATTTCGCAATTATCACTTTTCTGAACGAATGAAAGGTTATTCACCTATTTGTATTTCGGCATAGTATAGTTTCGTAGATGTATTCGGAAACGGCGATAATACTGAAAGTGACATATGGAACTACCTTAAAGAATCAACGCACCACAACATAAAAAATAAAACGAAAGGTAAAACTAAAGCAGAAACAGAATATCATATGTTTATGTCATCACCTGTCACTCCTATAAAAGATGACATTGTGACGGCGCATTCTTATTATAATCATTATATTGTTGCGCGCCACTATTAATGTCTTGTACATGGCAACACTAGTTACACTAGCGCCCTCTAGTGTCGAGTAGCAGAACTAGGAGAGTCGAGATCCTTCCAGAAATTTCGGGACCGATATGTACTCGAACATTCTAGATGTCGCTACAGTAGAAGGTTCTGGAAACTATCTGAGGCCCTATATAAGGCCGGTATAGACCACGACCGGGGCAGTATTGAATTGGCGATACAAGAGAATACTTCGAAGCGAAACAACTGCGAACTTAAGTGATCAGTAGAATTATTGTGTTTTATTATTAGTGTGGTTTTAGATTGTTTTAGATTAGCAAACCGACAAGCGGAACTCGGCCGCTGCTGGTCGCCTAAGCTTGCTCAGGTCGCAGACATTTACACCTCACTGTACACTACTCGCCATCCACTATTACACACACTCACGGTCTGCCCAAGCATTGGTGCGATGTTAGCTTCGGATAATGGTAAGTACTATGTGTTTCTAGCTTTCTCCCATATAGTTTATTGTGATAGAACATATTCCACGTGGCCATATTGAGGCCCGACCTACGTCTGCCCGTCGAAGAAGCTGCTATGGGCCCCAGCCAGGATTTGACCTTTGTGGGAGCAACCGTAGGCCGTAACAGAGTGGTAGCAGAGCGTGGTTCCGGGTTCGATTCCCCGGTCGATCCCGACCATAGTGTTTGATAAAAATTAAACAACTCTGGTGGCAGGGAGCGTTGGTTTGATTGGTTTAATTTTGTGTCTACAATCACGCCCGGCCGTAGTACGTAAAGATAAAATTCTTTTCTTTTGTTGCTTGCTTTTTTTGTTGTTGGTGGGTAGTTGCGATTGCCATGCCCTAGGTTGCGCAAGCGGGAGTTTGCTAGAGAGATGCGTTGGGTATGTAGATGGATATCATCACGTAATCGGATAATTATCGTTGTCGTATAATTATGGTTGATTACTTATCAAAGGGTCGGTTGTCTGAGCGAGGCATTTTATGTAGATCGAAAGGGATGTGTATCTTTATTGTATTGTTGTTCGTATAAATCTAATCAATGGTAATTTGTATTTGTGTAATTGTATTTAACTTGATTTGATAGGAACGGTATTTTGTTACTCGTTAATTCTTTTTGTATTTGTTAATTTGTAATTTAAATTTGAGCCGCGTAGTAATTTGTATTTAGAAGTAATGCCATCGCGCGGCTAGGGCTATCGCCATGCCGTTTTGTGTTTGGTTGCGAACGGCGTTTCGTCTCAGGGCTCTCCGGGCCCTCTACTCCCACGGGCGGGGGCGCTCGGCCGCGCACCCTGTTGGGGGGTTGTTCCCCCAGGGGCGGGGGGTCGTCAACCCCCCCTCCCCTTAGTATGTTGAGTGGGACTTCACTGCCACTCAGCGGTCAGCTAGACACTTCTCGCCCTCGTCAGCTGAGTGGCCGCGGCTCAGGGTACTACCGTTCCCCCTTTGATGTAGGCAGCCCAGCTAGGTAGCTGCCGCCCTAGCTCCCACCACGGCCGTCTCCACTAATTCTGTGAGCCGTCAACAGCTCACATGTCAATCTGTTCTCTTGTCGACGGCCTCAGTGAGGGCGTACCGCCCGAGCGTCTAGTGTTTGACGGTACGCGCTTTATTGTTCCGGGTTCACACCCGGGTTAGCCTCTGCTTAGTTGTTGGGAAGACTAGGGCTCCATGGGAGCGTTGAATTGCGCTATTAGGGATTGTTAGATTTGATTTTGGTCGAGCACTTGATAAACGATGCTTTGAAGTAAAATTAAAACTGGGTTGTACCTTCCGCGAAATGTTCATTTTTGTGGCGGTTGTGATTAAAAGGGTTGAATTTAATATACTCCTTGAAGGCTTGTGCACATGTTTGTAATTGTAGTTGATCACTGTGTTTGTTTTATCTCAAGGAAAATTGTGTTATAATCACTCGCTAATAGTTTCGCACAGTATCGAGGTCACATTCCCCCCGCCCAAAATTGAAATTGAATGATGTGCCCTTTGAATGCTTGTGCGTATGTTTTTGTAAATGTATTTGATCACTGTTTGTTTGTTGAAATTGAAATTGAATTGTATGCCCTTTGAATGCTTGCCCATATGTTCTGTAAATGTGTTTGATCACTGTGTTTGTTTGTTGCACAGAAAATTGAAATTGAATTGTGTGACCTTTAAATGCTTGTGCATATGTTTGTAATTGTAGTTGATTACTGTGTTTGTTTGTTGCGCGGAAAATTGAAATTGAATTATGTGCCTTTTCGAATGCTTGTGCATATGTTTTGTAATGTATTTGATTATTGCGTCTGTTTTGCTGAAAGGAAAATTTGAGTTCATTTGAAATTGAATGACGCGTTATTTGGATATTTGTATATATGTTTGTGGATGTGTTTTGTCATGGTGGGTTGTTGAAGAGAAAGCTGAGATTGGATAACCCTATTTGTGCCGAAAGAAATAAAGAGTCATTCCTCCTTTGGTGTTCGCATTTGTAGGCACTGTCTAAGATATTTCTTTGCAATAAGAAATGGGCTGTCGCTTACGTTTATTATTTTATTTAATTTGTCGGTTGACCTATGTGAATGAATGAATGAATGAATGAATGAATGAATGAATGAATGAATGAATATACTTTTATTGTACACCACGAACAAATATACAAATGTCATAACAAAAATCTGATTATAATATGTACAATTTGGCGGCCTTATCGCTACATAGCGATCTCTTCCAGGCAACCAAAGGTGTAAAGTAATACAAACAATGAATAGGTAGGTGGTAGGTGGTGCAATATAAATATACAAATAATAAATGCAAAAAAAAAATATAAATAACTAAGTAATACATGAAATAATATAAATTACTAACACATAATAAAATATAAGGTAACACATATAATATATACATATACATGCACATATACACATATACATACATACATACACATATATACATATACATACATATACACATATATATAAACATATATACATAAATATACACACAACACATATATATATCAATATATATATATATATAAAATTCCTCAAACAATAATATAAAGCTGATAGATACAATAAATACATAATCACACAATCTATCCTAACGGTGTCCGAACGATTGAGACAAGTAATGCTCTTTAAGTAATCGCTTAAAGATAACAATAGTTTGTGCCTCACGTATATGCAAAGGTAGGGCATTCCAGAGCTTAATAGACTGGACAGTAAAAGATTTATTGAAAAATGATGTATTGTGAGTTGGCACACTTAAAATGAATTTTCTCGAAGAGCGTAAGGGTTCCCCTGGAAGCCCCACAAAATTAAACTTCTCCTTTAGATAGGGAGGAGTAGAAGGGTGAAATAATACACAGTACAGAATAGAAAGTATATGCATGTTCCGGCGAAGTCGGATAGGTAACCACTTGAGACGTGAGCGAAATTGGGAAATACGGTCAAATTTGCGCAATCCAAATATGAACCGAATACTAGTATTTTGAAGTCTCTCAAGCTTATTTAGCTGGTCCTCAGTTATGTCTAGATAGCTTGCGTCAGCATAGTCGAGAATCGGAAGGAGAAGAGACTGTGCGAGCATAATTTTTGTAGGAATGGGAAGAAAAGATCGAAGGCGACGCAGCGAACAAAGAGCGACAAAAGTTTTCTTACTTACCTCATTCAGTTGGCGTATCCAATTTAAGGAATTATCAATATAAATACCAAGATTTTTGACATTGTCAAAGTAAGGGATAACAACTCCATCGAATACGATAGGTGGTACAGAGAACCAGTCAACTCTTGAGATAAAGCTCTGGCTACCAATAATGATAGCCTGAGACTTTTTAGGATTGACATTTAGGCCATATGATTTACTCCACTCGTGTATAAAATTTAGATCCCTATTTAATGTAGCGATTGCACTCGGCAAATTCTCAAGAGTTGACTGGGTATAAATCTGGACATCATCCGCATACATGTGGTAGAGAGAAGATATTTTATGAGTGATTGAATTAATGAAAATGGAAAAGAGTAAAGGTGACAACACGCCGCCCTGCGGCACGCCTGCAGTTATATCACACCAAGATGAGTGAGTTTCATCGACACGAATACACTGCCGACGGCCACAGAGATAACTTTGAAACCAGTCAATTACTGATGGAGATATGTTAAGGGAACATAACAGACTCAACAGTATATCGAAGTCAACAGTATTGAACGCATTACTGAAATCCAGCAAGGTCATGACTGTGAGTTGTTTATTATCCATACCCCACCGTATGTCATCAGTAACTTTGATTAAGGCAGTAGCCGTACTATGACCTGGACGGAAACCGGATTGTAAGGAATTCAATAAATTGTGCTTATAAAGGAAAAGGGTCAGCTGTTGGCAAATAAGTTTTTCAAGGACTTTAGAAAGGAAAGGTAAGATCGAGATGGGACGGAAATCAGAGAGGTTAACGGGATTAGATTTCTTTGGAAGGGGTATAATATGAGCACTCTTCCAGGCTTGAGGGAATTTAGAGGAAGAGACACAAGCATTGAGTAAATGAGTGATAATGGGAGTAATAACATCAAGGAGAGGAACAATCATATTACGGCTAATGTTGTCGCTACCGACAGCATTTGAGGAGATGGATAATATGGTCTTCTTAACATCACATTCAGTAAACTGACTAAAAACGAACGGAGGATAATTAGGAGTCGGAGTTACAGAAAGCGAACGAAGTGTTTGCAGTTTATGTTCGCTATCAAAAGAGTTAGAAGGATTAGAAAAATGTTGATTTAATAGTTCAAAATCAACACTAGGAGGTGAGGCATTTAGGGATGTTCTACCAACTCCAACTGTTTTGAGAAACTTCCACACCCTAGATGAGTCGCCGTTCTCGACTGATGTATGAATATGGCGTCGTTGCGCATCTCTACACAATGTGTTGCATCGATTCCTGATTTTGGCGTATTTCCTTGCGTTTTCCTCTGTCTTATTCCTCTTAAGCTTTGACAATGCCGCATTCTTCTGCAAAATAAGCTTCTTCAGGTCATCAGAGAGCCATGGAGCAGGTAGGTGTTTAAGTCTCACATAATGCATTGGCGCGTGAACGTCATAAAGCTGAGTGAGAAGAGAACAGAACAGTTCCACTTTATCGTCAATGCATGGAGCTCTCTCGATCACTGACCAGTCCATATTATAAGCATCTTCACAAAGTTGTTCAATATCCATTCCTCCAAAATTACGTCGCAGAACTAATTTAGGTTTGATTTTAGGAGGGCGAAGTTTATACGAAAGAAAAATCAAATCGTGATAAGAGAATGCATCCGCAGGACACTGTCCGTGCTTGAAAACTAAATTGGAAGATGACACCATTATTAAGTCAAGAAGGGAAGGAGTACTGTTAGGAAAGTTATGAGTAGCAGAAAGGGGTAGGATTTGCATATTACACGCTTCAATTATAGCTTCAAGTTTTATAGATCGATTGTCGCCTTTAAGCAAACAGGTGTTAAAGTCACCCATCAAAATAGTGTGACTATACGTAGGGACTAGTGATTCTAAAAGAGATTCGAAAGAAGTAAAATAATTTATAGAAAGGGAGGGACTGTAGAAAACTCCAAGTAGGATTTTATTCTGAGACAGGGAGACCTCAACCAGCAAATGCTCAGCAGAATCAACAGGAGGTGGTTGACTTGACGAACTAACAATTTTATATGGAAGGTAGGATCTTAGATAGATCGCCACGCCCCCACCACCCCTATTAGTGCGGTCATTTCTAATTAGATGAAACCCAGGCAAAGAATAAGAAGTGGAAGGCAGACAGGGTTTTAGCCAAGATTCTGAAACTAAAATGGCGTGAATATTTTGGGATTCAAATGACGCAAGCATGTCAGGATAATGAGCCGGAATGCTTTGGGCGTTAATATGAATAGCATTAAAGTTATTCACACAGTCTGAGAAAAAAGAATTTAAGGTGATGTTGAGTGAAGGAGAAGCAGTTGTACTGTGATAACTATCATCACTAAGTGTCTCATCGTCCGAAGACAACGATAGAAACAAATCACTATCGTTACAAATGTTTGAGGAGGTCATAAATATTAAATTAAAATATAAAATAAATTCTTATATACACTAAAGAAAAAAGAAAAAAAAAATATATATATATAAATAAAGATCGAAAGGTACCTATACTATTACAACCACCAGCAGCATGAAAGAGAAAGCATATGACAAAACAACAACTTAAAGAAATAAAACAATCAGTTTAATATAAAAATTACCAAAAACTTGCAGTCTGACGCCAATAAATTGTAAGACATTTTGAAACTGTAAGCGTCAGACTAGGCAGTATGGATTAAGATGCCTTTGCCAAAGTAATAAAATAAAATAAAAAATAAAAAATAAGAAAGAAATCTGACAACAGGTAACAAGTGGTAACAAGTGTCACTGTTAGTATAAATAAAGATATTTATACGTAAATATTATTAACAAAAAAATATAATGATTAATTAATCTACCAGTTATGTGAAATAATTAAAATAATTTGAGCAACAATCATCAAACCAGTGGAAACCTATTATAAAACTTATGTCTTAAAAATGAATGGCAAAGAATTATAATTTAAAACCTGATTACCTAAAAGTTACAAAAAATATATGAATTGAGCTGCTGGAGTAAATTAGTAAAAACAAAACCATAAGAAAAACATGCCACTACCATCATTTTTTAGCCGTCTTCCTAGCCCTAGCAGTAGTAACACAGGGCTTGGGAGCCGAAAATGCTGCCGCCGCCGTCGCCGCAGTCAAGGATGTGGTAGTAGGGACACCACCAGCTGCATCAGGAATGGCGATCACCTCAGCCACGGTGTACACCCGGTGCTTCGTGCCGTCGGACCCAAGCACCACAACATATCCATCGCGTGTCCAACACTGGGATACACCAAAGCGCTTCCGAGCAGCAACGAACGCCTCATAACGACCCTTAGTCATGAACTCAGATAGAGTAACTCCGCTACCCTTTAGCTTGGTTTTGGAAAACCAAACTTTGTCACGGAGATCCTGATCTCGAAATTTCACGAGCAACACACGAGGCTTGTCGCCACGGGGGCGCCCTAAGCGATGGCATCTGGTAATAGAGTCCACACTTAATTCAGGGATGTTCAGCCGCTCTGATAATACCTTACTTGCGCAATGCACTAGGTTCTGATCTTGAGCTTCTGGCATTCCATGGACAAGCAACATCTTCCTCCTGGTCCTTACCTCCATTTCATCTTGCTGCCTAGAGAGAAGCTGGAGCTGAAGTTGCAGATTCTCAAGTGCTGACAGGACGAATGCCCTAAATGCATTAAATTGTGCATTAATATTGGAAGAAGGGCTCGTTGCAGGGATGGATGTTCTGACCTCCCTCTGGAACTCATCCATACGTGAAGTGAAATTCAGTGTTAGCTCTTCAATTGACTTCTTAAGCATATCCATTTTGAATATTCAATTAAAGGTTACTTAAAGGTCAATGTCAGGTGACAGTGAAGTGGCAAAATAAGTTTTAAGTTGTGCAATGAAAAACAAATTATTAGTAAACAATGCTGGTGGATTTATGTAATTACAGGTACATTTATATACTTGATTGTTCTAAATTTACTATATTAAAACTTTTAAAAATCAGGAACGATTTTAAATATGTCAACACACTTTTGCGCCTACCCACCGAAAAAAAAAAAAAAAAAAAAAAAAAAAAAAAAAAAAAAAAAAAAAAAAAAAAAAAAAATGTAGTATGTGCATCGGTGATTGGTTTGTTTAAATTAATCCTGTAGTTGAACATTGATGCATTTTGAAAAATTAGTTGAAATATGAGCATAGGACTACTTGTCTAACAGGATAGCTAGTTTTGGAGATTATCAGATTGAAATCAGCTGCCGCACTATTTAGTAAATGATTAGATGGCTTGGTTAGGCCTACTTGTTGAAAATTCATACTAGGGACTATCTGTGTGTTTCGTTTGGCTCTCCTCAGACGACGTTCATGTGGAATTTGTGGGTGCTCTCTGCACTAAAGCTTAGGAGGCCACGCTGGGCCGCTTCGTGTCGTGTCGCTATTTGCAGACCTGATTCGGTCGGATTGCGGAACGAATCATAGGGGCACAGATGGGTGTTGAAAGAGGTCGTCGGACTTCTGTCCAGTACAGGACTTGTCAAGGTGCTGGTATGCCCAGGAGGGACATCCAGTGGAGGTTGACCCTCCGACTGGCCCACATTGGGGCTGTCTTTCGAGGCGGTGGCTAGGGTTGCAAGATCTGATGAGGTGTCTAAGGTGGCCTAGTTTTGGTTGTAGATTCGGTCTTACAACGTGCCGTCGCTACCCTGTCCCGCTTGTCGGTTTGCTCGCGGACCTAAGTCCTTATGTCCGGGACGGGGGTTTGTTTAGGCCAAAAAAGGTAATTTGTACGCCCTCCAATGGCGTTCAAGCTAGCGTCTCACCTGATTTGGTATGTAGGTGAGATAAACGCCGAGTCGCTCGACGCGAGGGCAGTCTATCGCTCGACGCGTGGTCGAGGGGCCGATGCCCCGCCGGCCACTAGGGCCGTCAGGCCTCTTACGTAAATTCGCGGCCCGTCGTGGATCTAGATAGCTAAATGAAGATATCGTTATATCAATTATATCGTCGCGTTAGTGCCTTTTGTGTTTGGGTTGCCTAGTTAGATTAATTTGCGTGTCAATAAGGCGTATTTTGACTCTGGTGCGACGTGTTATTCTGGTGCCGAATTTATAATTTGTGATAAGGGAATCCGGGACATTCAATGTCGAATTGGAACTACTGTCCTACTGTGTCGGGTATCACGTGTGCGATTCTACGATGAATGTGGAATTAGGCGAGTTTAAGTTAGTTAAATGTACAATGAAGCTAATAGACTGAAATAGTGAAAAGGAAGAAAGAAATGGTCCAGCGGAGGTTAACCCTCCGACTTGCCACATTGGGACTATCTTTTGAGGCGGTGGCTAGGGTTGCAAGATCTGATGGGGTGCCTAAGGTGACCTAGTTTTGGTGTAGATTCGGTCTTGCAACGTGCCGTCGCGACCCTGTCCCGCTTGTCGGTTTGCTCGCTGACATAAGTCCTTATGTCCGGGACGGGGGTTTGTTTATGCCCAAATTTGGTCATGTTGAACGCTATCCAATTGCGTTCGAGCTGTCGCGTCTCCCGATAGTATGTACGTGAAAAAACACCGCCAGGTGGGGCGGCGGTGTGCGGCGTGTGTAGCTCGACGCGTGGGCGAAGAGAGTTGCCCACTGGCTGCGAAGCGGGGAACCCGCGTAGCTGGTTTAGCGCGGCCGAGGTTCACGCGACCGTTGTCGGGTCCAGATAGTTAGATTGACTACGTGTTACTTCCTTACGTGGATATGTGAATTTTGCAATATTTAACTTCTTCGGGGATGCGGAATTGTGCACGCGCGCGCCTAGTACATATACGGTCTAGGATTCGAACCGCGCATTCCTTGTTCGAGAGCTTCTCCCGGTTGCTCGTTAGGAAATCATTATAATTGGGCCGTCGCGTTAAGTGTCCTTTTTTGTGTGTTGGCTTGTTAGTTTACATGTCAACGAGGCGTATTTTAAATCTTTTCGCGACGTGGTGTTTTGGTGTCGAATGAAGGAACTTAGTTGTGTTTAACGCTGAGTAGTATGACTCCTTAAGAGATCGCTTTAATTCCCTCTTTATAATTTTGTGATAAGTGAATCCGGGACATTGAGTGTCGAATTGGAACTACTGTCCTACTGTGTCGGGTATCACGTGTTCGATTCTACGATGAATGTGGAATTAGGCGAGTTTAAGTTAGTTAAATGTACAATGAACCTAATAGACAGAAATAGTGACAAGGAAGAAAGAAATGGTCCAGCGGTGGACCCTGCTGGAGCGATGCAGCATTTTGGAGCAGCCTGGAACTCGGCCGCTGCTGTTCGCCTAAGGTGATCAAGGCCTCACACATTTACACATCACTGAACACTACCTGCCATTCACCTCACACCCACTCACGGCCTGACCGAGCCTAGGTGCGAAGTTAGTTGCTGATACTGGTACGTAATATGCGTTTCGAGCATTCTCCCATATAGCTCAGTGTTATAGGAAATTCTTCCATGTGGCCATTTTGGGCCCGACCTGCGGCTGCTCGTGGAATCTTCTGCTCATGGGCCCTGGAAGATTCGACCCTTGCTGGAGCAGCTGTAGGCCGTAACAATTAGTGTTGTGTAATTAGTGTCAATTTTGGTAATTCAATCGGCAGTTTTAATTGTCTCGAACCCCAAGCTCGTAACAATATTATAATAATTAAGTTCTCTATAAAGTCATTTCAAAATATCATAGATAATAATATTTTGAACATTTTTTATAGGATAGGGTAATAAACGAGCACACAGTACACACAGCGAATCAAAATGCAGATGCGTTGTCAGCCGTGAGGATTAAGATGGAATGCCCCTTTTCCAGTAAAAAAGGTCTCCGTTTCTCTACACGTTTCTCTACACTCACCGTACGAAACACAACAGTGTTAAACTGCTATATTACGTTTGCTGCTGGTATTCTGTGAGAGCGTGGTCCTTCCCCAGTCGAGCCGACTGCGCCGACTAGCCGACTGAATATAGCTGCAGCATGGCTCTAATTTATTTTAACTTAGTGCCTATTAACGTATTTTATACGTGGTAATTTCGAATATTTTATATAAAGGGTTTTACAATTAGCGCGGGTAGATTTTCATGGCCCGTGGCGGCCATTTTGTTTTGGTGACATATATCAAATCTTTTGTTTATTATTCGCTTACATAAACTAAATCACCATGCTAAGTTACACGATTGAACAGCACGTTCAAATGATAGAAATTTATTATCAAAATGTGTGTTCGTTAGTGCAAATGTAGCGGATATTGCGCCCATATTACGGTAGACGTGGTGACCCTTTACAGTTGACTCCTCAACGTTTGGTGGCCAAATTTGAAACGACGGGTTCGGTAAGCAATCAGCCAACACCCGTAAGTTCAAGAAACGCTAGATCGGCCAAAAAAATCGTCACGGTTCGTGAACGTGTACAGCAGAACCAGAGGCAGTCGTGCACAAGACCTCGGCCTTTCGCAAACTTAACGGAATTTAGGCCTAACCCCGTACAAGATCCAACTGCCCCAGGAGCTCAAATTTCATGACCACAGACAACGCCATTTGTTCGCTGATTAGGCTTCGAATCGCTTGGAAGAGGACCCCAGTTTTGAGCGAAATCATCTTTAGTGACGAGGCGCATTTTTAGATGAATGACTGTGTTAACAAGCAGAATTGCCGTATATGTGACCACACTAACCCACGCGAGGTTCACCACGTGATAATGGATTCTCAAAAAAAGTTGGTGTGGATTTTTGGCCGGTGGCGTCATTCGTCCGTATTTTTTGAAAACGACGCTGGTGAGGCGGTCACTGTCAACGGCGAACGCTACGGAACGATGTTAACCAATTTCTTTTGGCCCAAATTGAACCATATGGACATAGATGACATGTGGTTTCAGAAGGATGGCGCTACGTGCCACACAGTGCACGCCACGGTTGACATTCTTCATAAGTGATTTGATAGTAAGCTTATCTTTCGCAGGAGTGATGTGAATTGGCCACCAAGTTCATGTGATTTGACCTCGATAGACTTTTTCCTGTGGGGTTTGACGTCACAGGTCTATGCAAACAATCCCCAATTGATGGAAGCCCTAAAGGTGAACATAACACAGTCCATCGCTCAAATTCAGCCAGATCTATGCAGAAGAGTCACACATGGAGCACATGGATCCGTGCCACTGTAAGAAGCCGAGGCGGGCATTTAAATTATGTCATATTCCACACTTAATGGCACATGTGGGCCTTTAAAATAAAAAAATAATTTTGTTAATACCTCATACACATCATATTTTATTTCATTTCAACATCTACCCGCCCTTATTAAAAACCATTTACATAATGATTTCTTATATTTACGCGAACACTACACATTGAATAATACTACTTTTTCGGATTTTATCGCGTTTAATTAACCGATTTTAATTAATTCCCGACGTTTCGGGTACTTTACAGTACCCATGGTCACGGGGGACTAAGGTGATTGACGTCCCGATGTCAGAGTTAACCCGGAGTATCTTTAGCTTTTTTTAATTATTCATTTTGGTCCGATCTACGCAGAATGAACTTATTGTGTCTTGAAGTCTTGCAGTGGTATGCTTGGGTTTAGTTTTAATTTTATTAATAACTAGCTGTTCCCCGCGACTTCGCTCGCGTGTTAGGGTTTTTATGTTTTTGCGCAGAACCCTAATAATTTTTCTAAAATAAAAGTAGCCTAAGTTACTCCTTACAAAATCAGCTATCTGCCAGTAAAAGTCCCGTCAAAATCGGTAAAGCTGTTTCGAAAATTAGCCGGAACAAACAGACAGACAGAAAGACAGACAAAAATTTTAAAAATTGTATTTTGGTTATAAGGTCCGTATTTACTTTCATATGCATTTAGTAAAAACTGTAATTTTGACATTACAAACAGACACTTCAATTTTATTTATTTGTATAGATGTATAGACATAATAATTTTATTATGTAGTGTTGAGGACTGTCTGTATAAAAATCATATTGGTAATGAAAATTTAGAGGCCATACGTGAAGACATTTCGTCTTTGTTACGTCGAAGCTCAGCGCCGAAATTAAATCTTCCCAAAGATGAATTTAATGCATTGAAAAACTTACGCAATAGACCAGAATGGACAGAAGTAAATAGATAGTTGATAGTTGGGTTCATAACGGCTTAAATAGAATAATCTTAAGATTTTTGTTTTTAATATACTACAGTTTTATATTGTATAAAAATCTATCTCTATTTTTACCTAAAGTTTTTGAACTTATATTTTTTTAAGTCTTATTGTAACAATATTATACTATTATTATACTGTACTACAAATAATGTAGGAATGTCTCCTTTTAATAAAGTTGTTTTTATTCTGGTTTTTCTTTTATATATCTCAAGAAAATATTTGCTGCAAATTGTAGAGTTCTTCTTTGGTAGCCAGCCTAAAAAATCCAGAGGGAAAATCTATTTCACAAACGGCAAAATAAAATTACGTTTTTAGAACGCAAATCGAGCATTTAGTTTAATTCCTCTTTTTTGTGTAGGAAAGTGTATCGATTCTTTATAAACGTTCAATATAAATATCAACATTAATTTTGATATAATTGAGTTAATACCTAGCGTATAATATGTAAAATATTTGTTTAAAAATGTATTCACCAAAATTATACAAATACAATAATAAATAAATAAAAACGTGACTATTTTCTTTGTAAAATATGAAAATTAATAAAATAATTGAAATTATTCTGTATTTTAAAAGAGAATATAACATACATTTTAACCAAAAATAGACGCATAGCAGTAACAACGTCTTGCGAATTTACCTGAGAAATGTGCAACCATGAAAACTATTACTATTATTGACAACACAGTCACTCTCGGAACATGTAACTATTTTGGAAAACCATGGATTGCAAAAATGAACTACTATTATTATGTAAAAAATTATAAACTATCTACGAGCTTATTTCTTGCGTGCCGACTTGTGCCTGTCATTAAAAATCGGTTATGGTTAAGGAATTTTCTTCTCCCTTGCACACTATGACTATCACGTCTTACGCCCATAGATGTATACACTAGTATATCCTAAGCGTAGATAGAGATTCTAAGTCGACAAATTAATAAGAAGTGCTAGTCTATGCTTACAGCGAACCCGATCACGGTACATCATATTAGTCTTTGGTACATATTAAACATAGGGATTACATTCTCTTTGTGTACTAAAGAGAATATAACCACTACGTTCTCATCATTGTGTAGCTACGTTGTGTAGTGATTTGTAATATATACTCTTTGTATATCATGATGATGACCAGTGATGCCAAGTTAGGCGATTTTTCGCCTTTTAGGCTACCTTAAAGGGTGTTGGGGCGACTGAAAATTGCGATTGGCGACTGGTCGCAATTTAGGATACTTCAGAAAAACACAAGGGCGATTTTTGGCTATATAATTCTCTCTCTTATTTAATAAGTCTATTAGCATATATAATAAAAAAACGTGTAATGAAACATATGTTTTGACACAGAGATATATCAAAGAAGACTAAATTTTAAGGTATCAATGAACTAAGAAAAAAGCGTATGTCTTATATATATGTGTATATATATATATATACATATATTTAAGAAAAAAATTATATATATATATATATATATATATATATATATATATATATATATATATATATAATTTTATAATCTCTTTAGTAATTGTAATTAAAATATTTTGCTTCAATTTTGTTTAATATTAATAATAAAAATACTAAAATGATAAACAGATAAAACAAATATTTTATATGTTAATATTTTCTTTCACGTTTACATAAACTGCTTCAAAATTTATCTTCTTAAAATTATAAAAGGTTGATTAATAATTGGTCTTCGTTCACAAATAGCCTTTATGCTACCTGACAATTCAGCAAGCGATTTCAGGCTACATTACAGAGAAAACAAATTAGGCAAATTTAGGCTACTTGACGACAAATTTTTGGCGACTCCAACCCGTCTAGACTTGGTAACACTGCTGATGACAGAAAGCAGAAACTGAGAGTTTTGGCGGGAAATTGACCGGCGGCGGTTTGCTGCTCCTGTATTATTGTTTAAATAATGGTTTGAAGTGGACTTTGATATGTAAAAGTGTTGCGATTTTGTGTATTAAGTGTCTACGCATGTGAACTATTAGTGGAAACAGTGAAACAAGTGCTCTGATGGTGATGGATTCTCAAGATAAGCTGTTTGTTTGCATAGGCACCTTTAGATACCATCGCCAACTATCAGCTGTCTGCTGGATCAAGTTGCCGCCAAAATCTCCCAAGAACTGCACAATGTGACGCATCAACATATTGTGAAGCAGTATACTATGAAGGAGTGGGGAAATTACAATAAACCGAATAAAAATACTTAAGACTTGGCCTAAAGGTCTAGATACCAGGCTATAAACTCCAAAAAAAAAAAAGCAGAAACTGGCCTAAAGGTCTAGATGCCAGGCCATAAACTCCAAAAAAAAAAAGCAGAAACCATGGCCTAAAAGTCTAGATGCCAGGCCATAAACTCCAAAAAAAAAAGCAGAAACCAGAAACAGAATTGTCAATGTAGGCGTGCAGTAAAAAAACTCTTTGAGTTGGAAAAAAATAAAAATACAAAATATTTATAAATGTTAATACATAATGCATGCTAATTAAAATAAAGTGTCTTATATACAGTACATAATGTAAAGCAACGTGAGATAGCTTTTTTTTAATTCGTCAAATTCATTATGCACCTTGCACAAAAAATCTCTGAAATTAAAAGAATGTTTTTAATACCAATCAAATTTTAAACAACCAAAATGAATTTAATGCGAAAATTACGGGGAGCTTCCGGCTCTACATCTTCTGAAACTTCAGAGAGCCCCAACACTTCATCACACGTACAGCTTGGGCTAATGCACTTAAAGAAGTTGTTTGCAGAATACACTCATCCATCTCAGTCGCTCACTGAAAGCGAAAAAGATGACAAATTATACAACATGCTACCACTTTTTTGCAAGGTAAGCATTTGTTTATTGCCACATTAATATTACATCCAAATATACAATACCTTACTAAATCCTTATCAAAAGACTTTTATAGTTGTTTAATTAATTATATTTGTTCTAGCACACTTTATTAGTTACATTTTAAAGAAAAATTTATCCATACTATTTGTAATTTTTTTACACTACCTAACTTGAGTGTTATGTATGAGTTTTATATAAAATCCATCCTCTATTTCATTTTCTGGGTGTTATATTAGGTGACAATGGAAAAAAAACAATACTAATATCTTTCCTTCTGATAGATGCGATAGATTAGTAATATCACCATTCACAATTCAAAGAAAGTTGCAAGATATCAGATTCTGCTATTGCCAATCAAGCATGGAAATTGTGGCAATCCTCCTTGTTATTTAAGAGGCATCAAGCAGTTTGATGATATAAATACTGATTTTTTAACACAGGTGTTTGGAACCAGTCCTTCAAGTGAAATGAATGAAAAATTTTGGGATATTCTATCATTTTGTCAACAAGTTTCGAAACTTATGGTCTCAGAAATAAGAAAAAGAGCTAGCAATCAAAGCACTGTTGCTGCAAGTTGCGCTATCGCAAAGTTTTTAGAAATAGAGAATTCAGAGGAATCTAGTAATGGATGGATGCTACTATCAACATTGAATCTTCTAGCTGCAGGAGATCAATCCTTAATACAGGTACGAAAGTAACTCAATAATTATTTAAATCATTATGAAAATAATATATTATAAAGTAATTAGTTTGAATTCATAATTAACTAGCTCGCCAGGCAGATGTTGTTGTGCCCTTTCCAACAACCCCCTCCTATAAAAATCCTTAAATTCGCAATAAAAAATTTTGAGGGTCATTTATCGGGATAAAACTATCCTATCTCTCAAGTTGGACCAAACTGAACGCAGTGTGCAAAATTTTATTGAACTCATTTCAGTAGTTTAGGAGTCTATCGCAGACAAACAACGTGATATGCAATTTTTATATATAAATATATTATGAAATAAGTATAATGAAGAAAAAAGCAAAATTGGATAACTAATAATAGCAAAATTTTGAAAATTCTTATAGTTTTTAAAGTTGATTTAATAATATATTGCTTGTTTAAATATCACTTTATGTGGTAGAACCATGCTGCAGCTATTTCTGGTTGTAGCATGAATGGTTTCACTCACTTGACCAGGGAGAAACCCTCTTACAGAATACCAACATAAAATAGTAGCTTAATGCTACTGTGTTTTGTATAATGAGGAGGACATATGATGGATGGACTTTTTATTGGATACAAGGCATTCTATGTTAGTCTTCAGGGGTGACAACGTACCTTCAATTTGAATCTTTATTGAGTGTAAATGTAGATGTCTATGGGCCATAGTATCCACTTACCATCAGGTTGAATTTGTGACACATGACATTATATTAGCCAAGTATGGGAAAAAACATGTAATGGAACAGCTCCATGTTCCTTTAGATTAACTAATTCAAGCCAGTTTCAAACTCCCCTTAACTCAAAAATAACTAGTCCCACACACTTGTGATTTTGCAGACCTATATATACCTTTAATCCTAAATTTCATGAATCAAAAGATCATATAATAGTTCTTGAGTTAATAAGGTCTGAAAAGTACATTTTTATCACTTGCTGAGTGATTTACTAACTCATCATACACCTAAGCCACTTCTTGGTTGTGAGAAATTGTATGATAAAAGAAAAGATTGGTTTGTAAGATGTTGTTATCAGGATTAAGAAAGGAATGCTTAAGTGGTTTGGACACAGAGAGAATGAATGAGGATAGAGGCATAGTAGGCAAGGCACTCTAGCTGGAAGCTTATTGACCGAATTGGCAATTTATTTAAGATGGCCAAATTAAGAGTACCCTTAACGATCAAGCTGTCTATCTGGATTGTGCCAAATAGAAGTCTGTAGTTTCTGCTTACCCCTTAGGATGATAGACATGTTAGTTTGAGGATAGCTATGTATGTTTGTATGCAAAAAAAGATTATTAATTTATTTAAAAAATGTTTTGATTTGAGATTTGGCATTGAATGTATCATAATTTTTGTTTTAAATGAAAACCAAGAACAACTCTTTTTAATTTAATTTTCCAAGACATAATGAATGTATTTACAGAAATAATTTTATCCTTTCTGGTTCTTTGGAGTTTGCTTTTACTTATGGCCTTTCAGTAGAATAATTAATATAACAAGTTAAAGGTACATATAAAACTACCCCTATTTTTCCACCCATGCATCCATTTTTAGGAGTGCTTTTTAAACTTTTTTAAAATTAAAAAAAATTATTTTAATTTGTTAACAATTGATAAAGATATTGTGTAGTTTATTTCACTTTAGGATGGACTATTTTACACAACTCCATGTCTAATCGCGTATTTTACCTGTGGGCAGGAATATCACGATTATTTGAGCCACGAAATGTCCTCGAAAAAGCTTAGCAGTCCCTTGATGTTGCAAGCAAATTAGGGGTGTGATATCGGCATGCCAAGATGTTTAGCCCTGTATGCGGCAACCTATGTACATGCCAGAAACACGTGGGCCGCCGCTTCCTCCTCCCTCATACATGCTCTGCACAGGGGACTGTCTCTAATACCTATGGTAAATAAATGTCTGTTAAAAGAGCCATGTCCTGTAATAGCCATGTCTAGCACCTTTGGTATCTTGATCTGTGTGACAACTATTTATTGGTGGCAGAGCCTCCCAAGCTTGCCTACAGTCTTCTAGATTTTTCCAAAGCTGAGTGTGTTGATTAGTGCTTACATACCACTGAATGAACGTTACTAAGAGGAATTGGTATGATTGTGATTAGTTCCAGCTCTACAGCGACTAGAGCCGATCCTTCCCTGGCCAGTTTGACTGCTGTGTCGTTTTCCCTGAATTCAGTGTGTCCTTTGATCCACCATGGAGCCACATTGTTGTATTTACATACTGTTACGAGCGTGGGGTTCGAGATAATTAAAAACTGCCGATTGAATTACCAAAATTGACACTGTAATTACACAACACTAATTACAATCTAAAACCATACTAATAATAAAATACAATTGTACTTCTGAGCACTTAAGTTCACATTTGTTTCGCTTCGAAGTATACTCTTGTATCGCCAATTCAATACTGACTTGGTTGTGGTCTATACCAGCCTTATATAGCCTCAGATAGTTTCCAGAACCTTCTACTGTAGCAACATCCAGAATGTTCGAGTACATATCGGTCCCGAAATTTCTGGAAGGATCTTGACTCTCCTTGTTCTGCTACTCGACACTAGAGGGCGCTAGTGTAACTAGTGTTGCCATGTACAAGACATTAATAGTGGCGTGCAACACTGCCCCCTCCTAAGACATGCTCGTCCCGAGCATTATTGGCCCCATAATAACGCGCAAGTCGATCCACATGGACGATCTTAGGAGTACCTCTGGCACCTTTCTGTATCCGGTAGGTTACGTCATTGATCCTTGTCACATTCCGGTCCTTTCCGTCCCATTTAGCTTGAAGCTTAGGAGATTTCCCTTTGCTGCGAACTGGATTGTGTAACCACACTAGTGAACCTTCGTCAAACCCCTTGTTGTTCATTTTGCGGTCATACCGTGTTTTCATCTTCTCAGATGTCTGACGTGCTCATAAATGTCATTCATTTTGTTCCGCAAGTCATTTGCATAATCGGTTATACTGTGTGGGGTATCAGGTGGTATTCCGGTGATCAGGTCTGCAGGCAGCTGTAATTCTCTTCCAAAGTTTGCGAAAGCTGGTGTCACTGATGTACTTTCGTGAACAGCGCTTCGATATGACAACAAAAACGGTTGTATGTGCATGTCCCAGTCTCGTTGCCGTTTTTCCACAACTTTTGCTAGGTACCTCTCCAATGTCTGATTAAATCGTTCTACCATTCCATCAGATTGTGGGTGGTAAGAAGTTGTTCGTGTTTTATGAGTACCCATAATTCGGCAAGTTTCCTGGAATATTTGAGACTCAAAATTCCTTCCTTGATTGCTGTGAATTTCTAAAGGTACTCCAAAACGACAGAAGACTTCATGAACTAGTTTATTTGCAACTGTTAAAGCTTCTTGATTTGGAATAGCGAAGACTTCTGGCCACTTAGTGAAGTAATCCATCACAACCATGAAATACTTGTTACCACTTTCACTTTCCGGAAACGGCCCCGCAACGTCAATGGCTACCCTCTTCCATGGTGCACCAACATTGTACAATTTCTATGCGCTTCTACTACGAATTTGAGGTCCCTTTACAGCCGCACAACTTGTACATTTGTGGCAGCAGTTCTCGATATCGTCACGACAGTGGACCCAGTAAAACCGTTCTCGGATCTTCAGTAGAGTTCGTTTAACTCCAAGGTGGCCTCCTGAACAACCACTATGGTACAGCTGTAGAACATTCGGTACTTTAGCCTTAGGGGCAACCATTTGCAAATGACACCTGTCTCCCCGACCATTTTCCCATTTACGGCACAGGACTCCATCCTGAATCAGCAAGCTGTCCCATTGGGCCCAATAGCTTTTCGTGGTCGAACTCATTGCTGAGACGTCGCTCCACTTGGGCTTAGGAGCACTGGCCTTCATCCATTCCAGAATCGGCTTAATATCCGAATCTTCCTGCTGCGCATGTTGTAGGCTGTCCTTCCACTCATTGCTGAGCTGGTCTGTCCTGAGTATCTTCACAGATACCACTTCCTTACCCTCTTGCCTAGTACAATGCTTGCAATCTTCAGGGCAAGGTCTTCTTGATAATGAATCTGCATTGCCATGAGATTTCCCGCTGCGATGTTCGATCACAAAGTCGTATTCCTGCAGTAGTTCAATCCATCTCGCAACTTGTCCTTCCGGATTTTTGAACTGCAATAGCCATTTCAGTGCAGCATGGTCAGTTTGTAAGTAGAATTTCCGCCCCAGGAGATTTTTGCTGAAATGCTGCAAGGACTTTACCACAGCAAGCAATTCCCGTCTTGTGACACAATAGTTCCTTTCCGGCTTTGACAACGACTTGCTGAAGTACGCTATCACAACCTCTTGATCACCATTCCGTTGAGACAACACACCGCCAAGTCCTGTATCACTTGCGTCTGTGTTAACTATAAATTCCTTGCCCGCATCAGGGTACCCCAAAATAGGTGTTTTGCACAGACGGTCCTTGAGCTCCTGGAATGCGGTATCTCATCTTTCATCCCAGCAGAAATGTCGCTTCTCCTCGGTTAACTTGTGCAGAGGTTTGGCTATATCTGCAAAGTTCTTCACAAGTCGCCGATAATAGGAGCACAAACCCAAAAATGCTCTACTAACCTGTGTCTTGTCTTTTAGAACAGGCCAATCCTTGACAGCGGCAATTTTCTCTGGATCCGTGCGGATACCTTCTTCCGACACTACATACCCCAAAAAGCTAACTTGCCGTTTGAATAGTGAGCATTTCTTCGGACTCAACTTGAGGTTGGCACTCTGGATCTTCATGAGCACGCGTTCCAGGTTTTGAAGGTATTCCTCAAACGTACGGCCAAGAAAACCAGACAGGCATCGCCAATCAGCCCGGTAAGTACAAGCTCCATCAACCTTTCAAACGTTGCTGGAGCATTGCACAATCCAAATGGCATGACTTAAATTGCTACAGACCCTTTCCTGTGGAGAATGCAGTTTTCTCCTTGTCCTAAGGGTCAATTTCAACCTGC